ACCGTTAGGCTGGCTGACTGGCTGTCATTGGTTGATTCGGTTATGTATAAGGCCTGTGATTGGTGCGTTGGTTGATGAAGAACGTGAGGATTGGTCGCTTTCCTGCTTGCTCAATTTTCTATTTGAACGAAATAGAATATTTACCGCCGAATTATATTTCAATATATTTTCTTATATGCACCCGAGATTAATTCAAGAGGGAACGACTATCATGAAAGGGAAACAAAGAGACACACACTATCCCCGAAAATGTGATATTCCACTTCCTAATAGCTCGAAAGTATTAATTTTACTCTCGTCTTCTCGAAGTTTTCAATCCTCCAATGGTTCTCTAACGCCATCTATGATAAATATACCCTGTCAATTTGACAATGATGCCAAAGTTTATGAAATACAATACAATAGATATTACCAGTTAAATAATAGATCAAAACTATTTTTCATGAAAAGAGCTTGACTAGCTAAGCTCTAGTTGGGTCGAAGTTCATTGTTTAATTACTTCCTCACCAATTACCAGAAGGTAATTGATTGTGCCTATTAGGATTCTTATATCACGTTATCAGATAAAAAAAATATAAAAACGAATAAAAAGGGAACGTGGGAAACGTAACATTACTAAAATGTTCATTAACGATGAAATTTAGAATAAGTTATCATATTTCATCAGTATTACAATATTCATCTTTTAAACCGAAGCATCGGATATTTTTATTCCCACCAAATCATATTGGATACACGTATTATGAATGGAATATATAATGCTCCATTTGTGCTAATAATACTCAGAATTCATTAAAATTTTACTTTGGTAATCGTAATAATAATATAAATGCCTTATCGTGACTAAATTTTGTAGTTACATCAAAAAAATGAAATACATATGTATTAATTTTAAATCTACCGGTATTTTTAGTCTTGTCTTATTGGTTTCATTCTATCGTTGGTTCAATTATATGACCGAGCATCGCAGCACTATCGCGTAGTATGCAGATAATCAACAAACATCAGTGAAGGAACATTTTTCTTACGCATGAAGTTTATTTTTGCATTAACAAACATCGATTTGTCTTGATAGTGTGCCTACTGTACTTTAAGAACAATGTCTTATCAATTATATCGAAACACAACGTTAGGCAACACATTACAGGAAAGTCTCGATGAACTAATTCAGGTAGGCTTACATAAAATTGCCCAATGTTCAGGTTAGAATTTTCAGTGAATACTAAACACTAATAATAAAACGTAAATTTTTATGTAAAACAGATGTATACAATAACAACATTCTATACGTGTTGTACACAGTTACGTATAAACTTATCGAGATATTTGTAATATAGTCAATTTCCTTTTCTCGTCATTAAACTGTAAAATTCTATTCATTAGAATTTTTGAACTTAATGAAAATTCAAACAATCTTATAAATGTAATTACATTTTATTTTAAATTATGTAATAATACAATTTTATAGTATGGGCAAATCACACCACAATTAGCAATTAAAGTACTATTGCAATTTGATAAGGCCATAAATCAAGCACTTGCAACCAGAGTTAAATCAAGACTTTCATTTAAGGTATATGCCTCTAAGTGTACATATTTAATAATAATTATATTAACTAAATTTTTACTATTACTATCACAATTTTTTTATAAAATTTTTAGGCTCATAAATTAAATACATATAGATTTTGTGATAATGTATGGACATTTATGCTCAATGATGTTGAGTTTCGAGAAGTTCAAGAAGTTGCAATAGTTGATAAAGTCAAAATCGTTGCCTGTGATGGAAAAAGTAAGTAAAATGATATATGATTATTCACCAATGTTTAAAATGAAAAAAAATCTATGGACAATATGAAGAAACAACACATGAATGATTTTTATTCTCTTACAGCACTGGATGCAGATGCAGCTACAAAACGATAACATCAATTTCTTATACATCTAAATATATTTGTCATTAATAAGAAAATATTAGCCATATAAATATTTACAATAGACATTAATATAAGCAAAATACATTATATTTACTATAGCTACATAATTATTATTCACTTTCCCACAATAATATATCTGATCATGAAATAAGTATAATCATAACACTATGTTGAAAGTAAAAAACAAAAAGATTACTTGCTTTTACTAAAATTAGCATTAGTTTTATTTTTATATTGTATCTGAGAATGAATAGACTTTGTACATTACAATATGTTTACAATAATTTACCTTCAGGAAATATAAAATATGTTATATATATATATATAATCCTACTATGTGATCCAATTTGTTCCAAAGGTGTTAGTCATTATACAAACGAGACTGCAAGGTTTATTAAAATATTTGAATAAGTAATACAAAATAGCTATACGATTATGTATGAATATAATTTATCACAATATAACTTTGTACTATGAATATGTCTTGAATATTAACAAACACCTGTTTTACTACTTATCGTAATTTATTCACAAGTGAATACAAGAAGTTAATAACAAGAAGTAATGTACCTATACTTGTTACCGTTAATACAATCGTTTGTCTAATATGTTTGTTCTGTCGTGTTAAATTTAAAAAATAAAGTACAACCGTATCTATAATGTACTGTCCATCCAAAGAGAAACAAGGTATAACATTCAAAATTGCTAGACCAGCTGAAAAGATAGTAACATATTTGCAAAGAATCACTACAGCCTCTGGTAATTTAGGATTCAGAAATGAATATTTAGGTAGCCAATCAGATACATCAACTGTTTGATAAATATCTGCTGGATACCCAAAAAACAAAACATCCTTTCCTTCTCTTCTTTGTATTTGAACAATCTATAATGTTTATGTAAATATAATATCATTGCATATTATTCGAATGATAAATAAATAAATCTATATACTTTACATACCTTAGTAACATTATCAAGAGAAGGCTTTAAACAATGAGTGTCATGAAATATGCATTCATTACTAGCATGGCAATAATTTTGTGATTGATTAATCATAACTCTTACTGGAAGACAAGAGTGTGGTGGTAAATGCAGAGGGGCAGCTTGTGGCCCTTCTATGTATTCAAAACATAAACTTCCACGAGATTCACTATCACGTGTACAGCAATTTATAACACCATCTGTTTTTTGTCTAGATGGGATTGACTCATCATATTCCTACATCAGAAATTAAAAGTAAATGCTTCTGAGTAATGAAAATACAATACATCACAAAAGTATGTACCTGAATAAATGATTGTTTAACACAATATCCAAGAGCAGGCTGGTTTATCGTGTTTAAGATGCAATCACCCCAGTCTTCGTTATGTTTGACGTAACAGTCATTTATTTTATATATTATGTCTTCTTCAAAAAGTCCTGTTGGACTTAATAAAGGCGAATTCTAAAATAAATTTTTAAAGTAAGAAGTTATAATTCAACTTCAAATAATTTGGATATGAAAAAATATACTAAAAGAATGGATAAAGAATCAAAAAAATATAGGTTTTACTTACAGGTAAAACAGTCTTTACATAAACTCCATTACCGTATAAATATAATGGTGCCCATAACCATGTGGAAAACATGAAAATAGTTGCAGCTACTGTTGCAAGTACTACATTATGCCAAATCCCAGCACAATTAACTCTTAACTGATTTGTTAATGGTAATGAACTAAATTGTTCACTACTTATACGTACATAAGCTATAGGTATTATGAAAGCAATCACTATTCCTACACCATATAACTGAACTCCTTCTCTTGCTGCAGCCAATGCATGTCCTAATTCGTGTGTAATGAAACAAAATATTAATGTAACAACATAATATCCAAATTCATTAAGGGGCATATTTACACCAGGTAACTGGAAAATACAAAAGTATATATTAATATCAAATTTCAATATAATTATATCCAATAGAGAAATCCAATAAATAATTCATAATATTAAGCTTATAATTTTTAAAGTTGTTTCATGAAATTAAAGTTTATAGTGATAAAAGTCCTTAGGATGTAACTTTATGGAACAAATTTCTATAAAAATGAAATAATGTTTTCTATAAACAAATGAACTTGAAAATTATGTTAAAATTAATTTACCATTGGTTCTAAGAAAGATTCAGAGTTATTATTATCAAGTGATGGCCCATTCATCCATATATCGAAAGTCCTCTTTAAAATACCAAGTGTTGCAAGGGGAAGAAGAATAATAGTAACAATAACTCCTGCATTGAACCAAGCATTCCAAAATTTGGAACGTGTCATTCCCCATTTTCTTATCCTACGATTAAATGCTGTTGTGAACCATTTTATTCTTAATATTTGAACCTCTATACCAGTATTTTTCAAAAAGTAAATGTATGGATAATGTGAACATGTCTGAAAGATAGAAAGTATTATTTATTTAATTATTGTTTACAAATAAAAGTTACACAAACGTCTATATTAAAATCGAACTGTAAGATTCAATTAAAATTTTATACATTATAATAAAAATATCAACGTATTTCAAATTTTAATAATTTGTGTTTAACAAATTATACCTTAAAGATTGTGTCAAAAAAGAATAACAAACAGTGAATGAGACCTATTGTTATTAATATACTTAAAGCATCCATTCCCCGGAATTATACTTTAATTTATTAGGTAAACTCTTCATACGCTAGTGTGTCAAATCTCCTTTTATTACATTTAAATATCAACTAAATTCAACATTATTTAGCTTGCATTGGAGACTTTTCAATTCTTAAGGGTTCCAGCTCTCTGGTAAAATGCATTTTAAGATGATAATAAAGCCATTTCAATCTTCGACATTTACCGACTGTTATTAATGCTACTAGAATCTTAAACCACAGACAAGATATAGAATAGACTTAACATCCAATGTAATTTTCTGTCACACACTGGGGGGCTTTAGGCCCCTCTTAACATTTTAGTGTCAATACCCGACGTTACCGATAAAGTATGAATTCTGATCATATGTAAGTAGTACCACCGACTAGGTATAGAATAGACCTATCATCCAATGCTTTTTTCTGTCCCATGTTCATAGGGCTACGTAGCCCTGTTACCATTTTAGTGTCAATATCCGACGTTACCGATAAAGCATGAATTCTGAGTATTATTAGCACAAATGAAGTGTTATATATTCCATTCATATTACGTGTATCTATATAATTTCGTGAGAATAAAAATATCCGATGTTTCAGTTTAAGGTTAAGGGATAAATATGACAGTCATGAAACATGAAACGGAAAAGTATATATTTTTTCACTTAACTACAATACAATTTATTCTAAATGCATCGTTAATGGACATTTTTATTAATGTTACTTTTTACATGTTCTTGTTTTATTCGTTTTTATATCTTGCCTTACATTTGTATATTTGTAACAGATAAATTCAGAATAGATGTAGTTTCATAAATAGATTCTAGGTATAGGTCTATCCTATACCTAGTCGGTGTAGTACATAGCATGTATAATAGACTGCGCGATCTTATGGTAGGGATGAAGTCGGCACTAGAAAAAGATGATAATAACTGGAGTAACTTTTCTCTCTTTCTAATGCGGCTGTTGGTAGGGGATTCTCCTACGGCTGTGTGGAGGCATAACACACGTGCAGCATTCCTTCTCCTCATCATCCTCCAGTCGCTTTGTCCCCCCCTTGCGATGTACGAGCGAGAAAGGAATGACTCCATCGCTACTTCTGTCCTTCGGTCTCGCTTCATCCCAACCATAAGCCGCGCTGCTATTATATATGCTATGTCAATGTAGTCAGGCAATGTGTACGTGATGTATGTACCATGATCTACATACCATAAACGTGACACACATGCATGCCATCGAGACCTTACTATATTCTGACCTTCGGTGTATGTAACGTCGGAACGTATGGAACGTCCCATTTGTTACTGCCGATCTAAACACGTGCCACCCCTTTAACTGGGAAGTCCATGTTGCTTTTCAAATTAAGAAATTCCATCTCAACTTTTCATATAAAATTAGATGTATTTGTAGAACATTTTGTTACTGTGTTGCACACATGGTCCATGAAATCTCGCGAGTTCAGGTATAAGTTTAAAAATAATCAATGAAATGTTTACACTGCCAAATTACAAATCCAACAAATCTAATGGTGGAAATTAATGCCGAGAGAAGAACGAAATCGTAAGGCATATTAAGCTGAAAATGTTTGTGTTACGCGTTCTACTTGTAGATTTTCATTCCAATTATACGTGCAAAGAATTTCCATCCAATGGCATTACACGGTATTTTATTTTTACAACAAACTTGTTAGACCTGAGAACAGTGTAAATACAAATGCTGACAACTTGTGGTTGAAAGCACCATTACAACAACATTGTTTGAGTATTATGTACTCCGTATTATTACGATTTCTGACAAAAAGTATGACTTAAAATATAGTCATTGAAATGGAAGTGTGGTGGTTTTCTCGAATTATAGCTCATCATCCTTATACCATTTTACTGGGAATACTTATATTCTCTTCAACATGCTTAATTGTTCCCTTAACTGTGAAAAAGTTTCCAGATTTCTCTGACCCTCAATTAGTGAGTACATAGAAGTTAATATAAATGATATGTGTATATTAATTTTTTTGATATTGTACTGTATTTGTTTTACCTAGGGCTTTGAGGCAAGGGGTACAACATTAGCTCAACGGCTTATAGCTTGGCAAAATTTAATGGAGGCAAGTAAGCCAAGAGGACAGCTCACTGATAATCCTTTAGAGTATTATTATTACGTGCGTCAACTAAATCAACAGGTAAATCTGCCATAGATTATTTACAAAATCTTCCATTTTAATTTTTTTATAAATAATGATTTGATAATGAAATAAAGTACAATATATTCTAGAACTTACAGAATCCTGTTAATATACAAAATCATACTTGGATTAGTCAGGGTATTATTAGGAAAAAGCCCAAGAATAAAAAGAAAGGAGGGAAAAAATATCAGAAAGAAATAATTAATGATAGACAAGAAAGAAATGCAACTGATTCTAAAGATAAGTGGGAAGAATTAATAGAATTGAAAAATAAGAATAAATTAGGTACAGTAAAGGAATATAAAGATCAAGATCATATTGACAGTGAAAGTTTTTTCTGTAATTTACCTTCTTCTGCTTATGCCCGAGTGGTAATTGGTAGAAATTCAAAAGATTCCAGTTTATGGTCAATGGAGGGTGTATTAGCACAGTGTCATATTGATGCAGAACTTCGATCAAATATGCACTTCCCTTCCTTATGTCAAGTGCAAATGGAACAAAGTGGTGCAGGGCAGAAGTGTTGCAGAAGTTGGTCACCAGCAAATTATGTTGCACTTTTATCCAATAGAACTTCCTGCTTGGGTGTAACAGAGAATGATCTCACTCGAGTAGAAACTCTTCTACGAAGATGCGTGTATTTTTATCAGAATCACCAACTAACATCAAACTGTGCAGAAGATTTAAACTGTCAAAGACACGTTCCAAGCGAATGTTATATGCATAATGCAGCTTATCATTTATTGCACTATTTGTTAGATACTGATTTTATACCAGATCATGTAAGTATATTAATTCTTCTATCATAGAAATTACTAATTATACACTTTTTAATATAATTTTTAATTTATTTATTATAGAAGCACAGTTCTCAAACAAAGTCAAATTCAACATTGAAATATGCAATGATATTTTTACCAATTGCTGCAAGTTCTGCCACTTTAGATTTTTATAGTGGACTAAACAATGGTGGTTTATCATACGGAAAATTTTGTGTTAAAGGAATGCAGTTAGGTTTAAAAACTACATTGTTTGATCGATTACTGGTATCAGATTCAATCCTGTTGCTTATTGGTTTTGCATTTGTAACAATTTGTATATGGGCATATACTGGTTCTCTGTTTTTAACTGCCACAACAATTATTGCTGTAATTTTTAGTCTTGGTATTTCGTATGCATTCTACACTTTAGTTTTGCATATCAAGTTTTTCCCATTCATGAATTTGTTGGCAATTGTCGTTGCTGTAGGTAAGAATTTATAAAACAAATAAGTGTAATGTTATCTTATACAACAAAAACGTCACAGTACATATAAATTTATGTTATTCATTTATAAGGAATTGGAGCAGATGATGCATTTATATATTGTAAAATTTGGGAGAAAGGAAAACAGCAGAAGGTATCGAATAATGGTTTAATTAAATTGGTGCAAGAGACAATGAAACATGCTGTACCATCTATGTTTGTTACATCTCTAACTACTGCAGTAGCTTTCTTTGCATCAGTCGTTAGCAATGTTACTGCTATCAACTGTTTCAGGTATAGGATTGAATTAAATAATTGATTTCATTATTTAAGAAAAAAATTTATATTTAAAAATCACTTTAATTTTCAGCTTATTTTCAGGAATGACTGTGATTGCAAATTTCTTTTTAATGATTACTTGGTTACCAGCATGTGTGGTAGTATCAGAACGGTTCAGCTGGAATGTTCTGTCTCCTGCGAATTATATAGTGCGAAAAATTGTTCGTCCTTTACGTCTGTTTGGAGATAAAATAGCAATAAGTTTTAACATATTCTTGACACAAACAGTGTTTGGTTTTCGCTGGTGTTGGTTACTAAGTCTGAGTACCTTAGCAGTAATATGTTTCATTATTGTTTTTAAGTATCCAGGCTTACAATTACCAGATACCGCTGAGTTTCAATTATTTGACAGTTCTCATTTATTTGAGAAATATGATTTGATATACTCTCACAAATTTTGGTTTGAGAAACGTGAAACAGTATGTATAAGAATTTACAAATATCTTTTTCACATGAAGATTTTAGAAAATCTTTAAGCGACTAATAAACTGTTTATAATTTTAGATTGATAATGGAGATGTGTTACCATTGAGATTTGTATGGGGTATCAAGCCAATTGATAATGGCAATTATTTAGATCCTGACATTATAGGTACACCAGAATGGGATGAATCTTTTGACGTTTCTCATCCAGCATCACAGGTCTGGCTGCAACAATTTTGCCGAGATCTGCGAACTCAACCTTTTTATCGTGAAACTCTGGGACCTTTACTTCCCAATTGTTTTATTGAATCGTTGTATAATTGGATGAAGAGACGTTGCGAAGATCCCATTGATTCGGACATTAACTACATGCCATGTTGCGAAAGAAGCAAGTTTCCATACAATTCTAGTGTATTGCAACAATGTGCAGCTGAAGCTAGCGCAGAATTGTATCGTACACCTGCACACTTGTGGGCTCGCCATGGCGTCTCTGCTGGCATAAAATTCTTAAACGACCCAATTCTGGCACAATTACAAACCTCAAATGAAACCAATTCCTTGATGATGCCGATCACGAAAATTAAAGTCTTAATCGTTGAATATGACAGCATATATAACTATAGTGTTTCTTTCTCAAATATGAATCAATTTTATCATCAGGTACATATCGACGCAACATATTCTTTTTTTGATATATTGTGAAATAAATGCTTAATCACTTAGTAATTAAAGAAATATATTAAGCCTTAAAATAGAAACATTTTCTATATTTTTTTAGGTTGAAATTTGGATGCAAGATCAGCTAAAGAAGGCACCATTGGGTATGCGTGGCGGTTGGTTTGTGAGCAGATTAGAATTTTATGAATTACAGCGGACATTATATGAAGGTACCCTTTGGGCAATAGGAGTTTCATTGGTCCTAGCCCTTATAGTCTTGATCATTGTGACATTTAATCCTCTTATCAGTTTGTATGCCATTATAACAATTGGAGCAGCAATTATAGTAACAGTTGCTGGCTTAATTCTTCTTGGGTGGAAGCTGAATGTCTTAGAAAGTGTTGCAGTCTCTACAGCCATAGGTTAATTTTCATAACTATGTTAACTTCGTTGCTTTACAAAATATACCAAGTGTGGTGGAATGGATAGTACAACCGGACAGAAGGTGATTTTACATATAAAAATAAGTTGATAATTAAATTTAAAGATTCGTCGGATACGCATGCAGTTAACTGTTTCCCGGCTTTATGTTTGTATTAATGATGCCGATGTCCTGGTTAGTTATCGATAATACGATTTTATTAATTTACATTGTGGAACGAATTCTTGATTGTGACGTCCCTGTTGACGCATACAAATTCTTGCTTTATGAATCAAAAGGTCGTGGATAAATGTTACAGTTCGACGGTTTAATTGAAGTTCCAAAAAGCTTGTATAATTTTCTCTTTGAGCTGCAAAAGATGTACACTATTCCTGCGGAGACATGATCCACTAATAAAAGTCCAATGACTAATTAACTTTTATTACTGACCTTGTAGGCCAAAGTGTACCCTGTACAGTAACAGACGAATCTTTAAATTCAATTTTCTCCAAAACTAGGCCTCTTATGAAAAAACTTTTAATCTGTATTTTCGGTTTATTTTCATATGTAGAATCACCTTCTGCACGATTGTACCACACGTCCCGCCACACCCTATATACATATTAACACGTATATACTATTTTCTAGGTTTAACTGTAGACTTCAGTTTACATTATGTAGTAAGTTATAGAGCATGCACTTCCAAAAAAAAAGAAGACAGAGTGAAAATAGCGCTTTCACAAATGGGTGGTCCAACTCTAATGGCTGCCCTCACAAGTGGAGCTGCTGGTGCTCTTATGTTACCATCCTACGTACTGGCATATATTCAGATTGGTATATTTTTATTACTTGTAATGGGCATAAGTTGGACATACGCTACATTTTTCTTGTGTCCACTGCTAGCAATTATTGGACCCTCGTCCCATTTTGCGCAGTTTCAGTACCCCAGGTGAATGTCTCAATATTTCTATATTTTGATTCCAATACTACAGAAAATATAATAATTATTTATGTGATGTCAGGTTAAATGTATTGTGGAAGTACCTTCGTAAAAACAAGCCTAGAAATGTGCCTGAAACAAATACAGATAATGATAAGACTAGACGGAAAGCTAAAAGACGGGGAATGTGGTCAGAATCTGCTTTAAGTACGTCTAGTACAGTATGTCAATTTCACTGTAATGACATGGAAACTTTTACAAGAGCGCCTCCATCACCATCGCTACCTCCATCTCCGTCATCAACATTACTTCACTGAAATGCAGGTCACGTGGTATTTCTGTTATAATAGTTAATATAGTTGGTACAAAAAGAAACTATTATGATGCAGTGTATGCTCCTCGAAGTATGGAATTGGTGGATTTATTCAAGTGTAACTCATGTCCTATATAGAATTACAATCGTGTGTAACAGATGTGTCATTGGCTGTGTTTATAATAGTTGTAAGGTAATTATTTGTACATCTCTATTATTAACATTCATTGGGCTTCCTATATAAGTTACGCATATATGTGTATACACTTTATATCCCTTGTGATATGAGTGAAGAGCTTAAAGTGCCAAATGTTTAGTTGTTAATTTTTGAAAAGTTTCTAAGCTGTGTTCTATGTTTATAGGTGTAACTTTAAGTGGCAGCTAATATTTATAGAGTACTACAATGTTACACTTGCATTTACATATCTATTAAATGCATTTGGACTTATTTTTTATACACAATTTTTTTGCATAAACAACTTTCTAGTATGTAGTCATTTCGTTATTTTAATATAGACGGATTAGTTACTATTTATTAACAAATATTTCGATATGCTATTAGATGTAGGTTAAATAAATTGTATTCAACTTCATAATTTATTACATTTTGTAGATCTTTTATTAAAACTTTGTATCCTAATTAAAATAATATAAAGCTTTTAATTGTAATAGTATTCACACATTTTTCAATGAAAGGTTATATACATATAAAGACTGTTTCATTTTTTAGTTACATATTACTTATAATTCCATACTACAATAAATGCACACAGATAATTGAATTTATTATATATTATATACAAACTAGAATAGGTTTGTATCTGGTATGAACTTGAATTTCTCCATCACGTAATACTTTCAAGTTCATGAAATATGAGATGTATGTGTATATGTTTGTAATTACATTTTTTAAAAGTAACAGAATATGATATATACAATTTATTTTCAAGATGCTAAAAGAAGACTGACAGGTTTTATAGTTTCTATCTGTAGTTGCTTCGAAAAATGCGGGAGATATAACAAAGCACATGTTGCTTTTACTATAATTAGCATTCCATAGATTAAACTATTTTCCTACAATTTGACAATGTTTTAGTCAGATACATTATAAAATAATAAGTATTTATAAGTCTTTCAGTTGACTTTTATTTTTAAATTTCTTTTAACATTAAATGAAACTCATTTACTAAAGGTATTTAATTACACAAGATACAAATTAATGATTCGTGTAATTCAAGTTCATGTTTTCAAATAGATAAAAATTGACACTAATGAAGAAAATGTATTATGTTAGCGACAGTGTATGTCTGTTCATCGATTACTCAAAGATTTATAAGTAATGTATATCAGGAGAACTTAATATAAATTATCTAGAATGCCTTGGCAATCTTTAATATATTAACATGTGAATCTGTGTATGTTGTGAGTAAGTTACAATGTATCATAGTAAGCTCGTTATGTATTTTAAAATCTATTTCATGTTGATACGCATATTTAATGCTTCATCGAGCAAAAACTGCGATCACCACGTGACCGTTCACTATGAAAGAAATATATCGGACTCTTTTTATAACATAATTGTATCTACTTATGGAAACATTTCAATTAATACGATGGCTACTCGAAACCAGTATTACACCTCATAAATCAATACCTGAAGAAATTCAAATTATACATTTAACGAAGTTGCCTTTGTTAACAAAATTTTAGTAGAAACAATAATGCATTATATGTAAACATATTAGAACCTACACGTTAATATGTATTTACAGAGAATCTCAATTCGATTACAGTTTATATATAAATCAAAATAGATTATAGCATAAGTGAACACGGTTATTTACATGGTAATATAAGTTAAATTGCATCCATAACAAAAAATCAAAAACATAATAAACCGTATTAATTGTATTAAACGTTACTATTAACACGATCGATTTTGATTACATTCTCAGTACCTATACGACGGCGTTTCGATATTGGGCTCTTCGGATCAGTTAATGGACGTTTTTGTATTTCTGGTAAACCTGTCTTATATTTGCGAATTGGTTGCGCTTTGTGAACAGTTTGTTTTCTTAATATCGCAATTTCTTTTTCCTGTTCCTTTTGTTTGACGATGATCTCCTGTTATTTTATTTGTTTAAATTTATTGCCATATTACTTTCTAATTTTATGCTACATTTTATCAAGATTTAATGTTACCATCGTATTCAACGATTGCAATAAATTTAAATTACCTTTAGACTCTGTTGTTGTCTCTGTATTTCTTTTTCTCTTAAGATTTCATCAAAGCGTTTTCTTTCCTGCGCTCGAATTGCTGTTTGAAGGAGTGGCGTCTTTGGTCTACTCGAGTTTTTCCTTGTTCGACACGGTATAAACGGTGGTTTCTTCCAAATCTGAATCATTTTGGGAACATAGAAATATTTGTCACCATTCACCAGTGTAAATTTTGTATCAATGAAAAAATGTAGAAAAAAAAAATGAATTTCTAATATTTGATTTATCCATGTCATGAAAAAGTAATCAAGAATCGTAGATTTAATTACCTCTATGTTTCTTTTAATGTTTTTAGTCGTAGCTTGTAACTTTTGATCATTATCGCTGGTATTACAATTATTTCTCCCAACATTATTATTAATGTTTTTATTGGTAGTAGCTGGAAGTGATCGAGTTTTTAGGTATTTGGGAACTGGATTTGCCCGGAACACTCTTGTCTTTTTCTCTTCTTCCAAGATCTACGAATGAATAACCAATTAACGAATCGTTTCAATAGTTAGATATATTTGTTTAAATACCTTGTTAAGACGTTCTTGTTTTTCTTCTTCTTTAAGTTTCTGTCGCAAATCAAACTTAAATGGATACACGGCGTTGCTTTGTGCTTTTTTCACTTTATTACACTTTCCTTTCTCATCGTTCTCCTATAATATTTAATCGTTATAATAAATCAATTAATAAATTAATTTACAATTGTGTACCATTTTGATAATTGTGTCATGCTTCACAAAACTTTCGTTCTCCTCGCTTTCCTGGCCACTGTTGTTGCACTGTATTTTCGGTGATATATCATTTATTCCAGATAAAGAGAATGTATTCAAAGACCTAAAGTCATGTATAAAAATTATAGAATTTTAAGAAGCAAGAATGCCATTTCAAATACAACCATAATTGCAACGCTTACGTGATCAATGAGTCTTCCTTACTCGTGCTCGGAAAAATCCCTTTGGAACCCGGTATCGGAGTACTTACGATCACCCTTGGTTTATCTAAATGGACAATGTAATATTAGATGAAGTATATCTCTTTAACGATTGAAATTATAACGGGACTTCAGCTTACTGAAAAACGAATCTCTGCTCTCAGGTATATTGGAAAAATCGACAAACTGCGGGGACTCGAGCTGGTCCCATTTATCCTCCTCCTCAATTCGATATTTTCTCCACTTCTCGTTATCAATGTTCAAATTTTCTTTCTGCCATAATTTACGCGACGGCGGTTTCAGATTGTATTTTGTGGATGTAACCGGTGTCACTAAATTCCCGCAACCTGCGTTCGTTCTCGGCGATGCGAACAGCATTGTTTTCTTTGATGTCATAGTTAATATTTAAAGCTATAACACTCTAAATTAAAAGTGAATCCTGAGCAGATACAATCCGCTGGAAGTCAAGCCGTTTACTAAAATAACTTGTTTACGTCTTCGCAAGATTTCACTCGAAATAAATTTTCAAAGTTTAAAAAGAAAATACAATTATCCGAGTTAATGGTAGAACAAACGTTTTGCTTCGACACTGTCCTGAATGTCAGTTAAATGACCGATATACAGGTTCACCAACACCTGTTCGGATATGTATCGCGGTTGATGTTCCAAATAAACAAAATTAGGTAGAGCGGACAATGTTTTCGATCTAATGACAACCGTTTGGGAATTCAAATCAAAATCAATCAAATAGCGCCGGAATATTGTTGGCATTCAAAAATGAAAATTGATTTATTAGAATCGCATATGTTAATCGCAAAGGGATTATAAATGTTCTTAATAAATACAAGATACCGTTTAATGCGATATAATTTTGTGGCATAGCATACGTTAAAATATATTTAACGTTCTGTATGTTTTGTTTACACTTAACGATATTTTGAAATAGTATGTCATGCGGACGTTTGTATGGTGCTTTAAATTAATTAGATTCTTCTTGGCATAGTGCGCGTAACGTTGACCGTGATTATTGATATTCATACACGCGTTAATACATGTGTGAGAACATTTCTATGGATACAAACGCCCACAACAAAGCCGAACGCTGATACTGTTGTACCATTTGTGACAAGTTTTCCAAACAGATCTTCCGATATGATCGATGCTTGCCGCGTTTCGAAATTGCAGTTCGTTCAGTGTGCGATCGGTTTCGTTTGGGGTAAGAATCTTTTTAAGAAGTTCAACACGTTGGTAACGATATGACGATCCGTCAAGCTGCACTACAGTGCATAGAACGTGTAGACAAAGCGTTGCATCGAGGGATGAAATAATAATGTGTTTCGACTGAAAACAATATTTTCAACCGAATACCAAGAGGAAATTTTAATTATGCACGGGTTACGGTAAGGAATAATATATTGCAAAATGTATTCATGTTTTGTCAATTTTTTAAGCCACTCTAGGATATTGAAGGTTCTACGTCGTTATACTTAAATTACTTGGTAATATAAAATTGCTTATAATTAATAAAAGTTAATAAAAATACCTTGACCTAAGTTGTAGAAATACCAAGTGTTTAAAAATTGGTATTATATACAAGAGTCACGAAAAGTGCAATTTACATGATCCGAAATGAATTTCAAAATAAGTTTCACATTAGAGAATCTTTTTTAGAGCTGATCATAATATTGTTGGCCTCAGTACCAATCGATGGTTAGAAGCACTTTGGGAACCAGGAGCAAAATTATACACCTTACCAGATGCCATCGATATGTTGGATGTAACTGGAGATGGAGATGCCAGACTCATTTGCGCCGATTTGGGAACACTGGGCGCCAATTCGACGAAAGTATACGACACTTTACAATCTATCCGATAATACTTGCAGTTTACTTTTTCACTTTAAACAAATAAATCGTATTATTCACAGAAACCAAACAACCAGCTGAAATACATCGAAGAAATTAATAAATCTGTAATTTGACGTAAATGTTTTAATTGCTATTTTGACATGTTCTCTTTTTCTTTATTTCGAAAAATCAGATACGAGTTTACAAAGGGGCCGATCAGGTAACCGAGCATAACATGGTGGATCGACCTTGTGGGGTGGTCGGTTTCTACACGGAGAACGGTGAAGCTCGATCGTCGGTGTTGGCTGTGGGCGGTGGTTCGAGTGTCTATATTTTCAAAAATATGAGGCCCTACTTCAAATACTGCTTGCCACACATTGACGTGCATCCTAAAGAGCGAGAGGTGTGAGATATCTATGTGTTTCCATTCCTTAATTACAATCAAAGAAAAACTATTCTTGATACGTTTAAAATAGATGTTAAAACAGCCTTCACTACACTGTTCTATCAACACTTCTCCATAGATTTGGCACAAAGCAGGATTAGAAGAAGAACTGAACGTGCTCACACTAGCCGACGAATTGGAATTATTATTAAAAGAACTCGGTGCAGGATATATTTCGCCACGGACATTAAAATTCCTCTCTATGGATCCGAACTTGAGAACCAGCTTCGTGGAACAATACAAAAGAATTCCACTAATTAAGAGCAATAGTTTGTCCGCGATTTCCGTAATCCGGAGGGATTCTTGGACCAACCCAGCAAGCGGTTGCCTCGTGCTTGGAACGGAATTCGGGGAAGTTCTCGTTTTGGATCCACGGTGATTAATTCGCTAATTCAATAGTTGCGTCTTCTATTTACGTAAATTCTATTTGCATACGAGGATCGTTCTTGCGTTCAATTTCTTTAGGAATTAATTTAGAGTAGAAGTCCCTGGATTCAACACGTCACTTATGGGTCGTGATTTGTTTCTGCAGAACGTTCACTGCCATGGACAAACATTTACTTGGATGGACTCCTGTTGCGTTCGCGTGTACCGGTTTATGGACAGGCGACGGTAAGATATTAATTGTCGGAAGGGACGGTAACATAGGCGCGATAAGAAGAGGAAGCCCCGTAACGCTTTGGGAAAAGTTGTCAGCGCCGGCCGTCGCTATTTCGGTTCTTAACAATGAAAATATCGCTGTGACTCTGATGAATGGTTCTTTGATTGGCCTTTCGAGAAAGGTACTCGTGGAAGATCGTTTAATAATTCTAATGATTACGTAAATTTGATCTCACAACTAATATTAATCTCGTAGGGTGGTAAACTGTGGCACGTCAATGTTCCGGGGGCGATTTTGGACTCAACGAGTTTGCCAGTACCACAGAGTGGGCTGTCCTTGATCGCCGTGAGTACCGCTGGATTCGGTGTTCGAGTCTACGATAGAATACACCACGTGGATACGTTGAAGATCATGGAACCAGTATCTGCGATAAAGGTAATATTATATATTTTATTTAACATTTCCTGTAACGAAGTGGAAACTATGTAAACTAACATTTGTTGTTTATAAAAGTATTGTATATGGTATGTGTCTGATGATACTGTTTTTCTTTTTTCTTTTTTATTATAGTATGGTCGAATGGGCCAAGAAGAAAGAACAATGGCAATGGTCACCGTAGGCGGCGGTCTGTGTGTGAAGATTTTGAAACGGACCGCCGACTTCAGCATTCACACCTCAGAGTCGAATTCGCTGACGAACAACAACTCGAAGTTTTCAATACCAAAGAAAACACGATTGTTCGTCGAGCAAACGATACGAGAACGATCAGAGGCGAAAAAGATCCACAGCACGTTTCAACGGGGTCTTCTTCGACTACGATTGATGGTAGCCAAAAAGGTAGTAGAATCTTTGAACGAGGGTCAAGACGCGGGTCCGCGTATCATCACTGTGGAAGCTACCGTTTTAGGATTGGGACCGAATTATCAGATTCGTATCTTGCTGACGAATGTATCGGATGAACTCTCGGACACGGGATTGTACATTGTCTGCAGAAGCGAGAACACAGACGTGACGCCACGCGTCGTGGATGTTCCTTTATTGCCGAGTGGAGTTCCCATTCCGATGGCTTTAAATGCAATTCTAACCAGCAGAATATCGGGCAGGGTACAGATCTTATTGTGCAAGAAATCTAGGACAAAGCCGATTAACGTGACGACAGTCGTTTTGCCGGCCGCCGAAGAAGACATTGAAGTGTGATTTCTTTGGACGAAAGAGTGCTATGCATAGAAAAATATTTTCTGTCGCGGGTCTATGAGATATACTATGTAGTGTATCAACAAGATTGGGATAAAATCATTTTTTTTTTAACTTTTGGTTCAGAGAATATGGTCACGTTCTTAAAAAGTATTTATATTGAAAACGATGGCTCGTTCTGCTCGATTTACTTAACAATGACTCACTAAGGGACCGAATTAGAAGATTTGTCATTTACAGTATTTTCCAGTGTTGTCTTACTAATCATTTAAGTTACGTAATGTAATCTCAAACGAATTTATGTATTTATACGATGAGCCGCGTCCGGTCCGTCCTAATTCGGTCAATTGCTTAAACGTTAATATTCGTGTGCATTGCGTTACATGCATGGAGATTCCGTTTTATGAGTAAATCGTGTAAATATTTGATCCGAATACTTGTTCATGTTTTGTAAGTAGATGTTTGATAAATAAGAATATAAAATACACTAGTTATAACTTAAACGATTTAAAATGTAATTCTTTTTTATTTATAATTCAAATGTCTATTGACACATCCGTATACAATATTCATTAATTATTTTCCAAAAGTTTCCCCTGTCCCCTTGAAAACAGAAACCAGTTGTAATATCCCTGTGGTATTGCGTATATGAGTAGAGGACATTAATTTAATTGCGTCGTGGATAGCGCGAAGGGAGAACGTGACTTTTAGTAGTCTGGATATGATTGAAACAGTTGAACGTCGTCAAAGACTGTCGTATCGCGAGTTGACGGAATCTGAGAGGGGTTACCAGGGGTTACATTATCGCGGCTTACGGGAGACTGACTTGTTATGAAAAATTCTCATATTGTGTGAATTGCATATCAGGCCTGGATAGAAGAGGGTTGTACCTCTTCACAGCCACGCTCTGGTAAGTTTAAGCGTAATTGTGATTAAAATTACCGCAATTCGCTGTGAAACTGTCGGTAAGATCACCATCCCCCATACCCACTCCACCCTCTGCTATTCATATGTATATTGTCTACTACAGCTGATCGAGGGGACCCGCATAAACTGGCACACTAAACACGCAACATTCCGGGTTAGCTGTAGTTATTTGTCGCCTGTACAGGATGTACAATCAGCATAGTAACGTAAGGAGAATGGATAATTAATAGGAACTGAATGGAGTACGTCCGATCGATAGGAGCTTTAATTTTTCTGTGATGTCGAAAAAAATTGTAGTGCTTCCGATATGTTATTTTCCAAGGCGATATCTCATGATCCTTCAGCTCCACATTCTTTTACTACTCTTGCTTTTCCCAGGTAAATTCTTGAGTAAACTATTCCACAATTAAGCTTCTTGTGTATGAAGTATTAGTTTTATAATAATAGATGCAGATAATACTAATTTCATTGAGTATTAAAGCTGCAATAAGAATAATACATTTGTGTTCATATTCAGTGAAGAATCGGTCGAGGTGTCATTGAAATATATAGGCTGGGTATGCATTTGTTGTTTTCTGTTTGTAGCCAAGGAATGTACCATGCCAGAAGCAAGTCAAGAAGGACTGCTACACTCATTCAAAAGTTACTCGGATATAGCAATGTTTCATTACACAGTTCCAAAAGAGGTGCTCAGAGCCACTTGGCAGTTTGCTGCATTTATGGACAGACTAGATTGTCCAGAAAGAAAAGTGCATATGTAACTAGTTTTTTCTTTTATATTTTGTCTGTTTCAATGTACAAATAATTCTATTATAATAATGTCATTTACAGATACCTGCAGTGGGGCAGTTATCCTGTGATATCTGTAAATGATACATTCCCTCATGATATGTATTCCAAGCGTAATCAAACAATTGTAGTGTCTGCAATCACAACATTTGAACCAAAAACAACTGCAATTGTCCCAGTTTATGGACCAGAATCTGGAGATTGGTTTGTGGGAGCTTATTTGTCTTACTGGGATGAAAAAGTTCAACAGCAGGTACAATTGTTAAATTAACAATAGATACAGTACAAAGAATTTCTTTCAAATCAAGTGTTCTATATCACTCCTTCTTTAATTTAGGGGCTTGGACACAAATGCCATTATAGCATAGGTTCTGTAGCTATATGGACACAGACAAATAGTATTGAGAACATACCTACTGGCTGTCAGCATACATTAAGAACAAGAGAAACTACTTCCTATTACAAGTAAAGAGTATAAACATTATATTTTATTCATTGTGCCTACATTAAAAATTAATATATTGGATTCTCCCACAGAATATACATACCATCAGGAACATGGAATTTTCAAGTACATATTTGGGGTTGTAATTTTACCGTGTACACATCTCATAGTATACATGATCCTTGCATTCAAAGTGTGGCCTTACAAGGACGCTCCCTACCTGTTTTCAATCACTCTGAACCCAATGAAATTGGAAACTTTACTATGTTAGACTCATATACCTTTACAGAAGCTTCCCCTTATGAGGACAGTTATTATTATCTGATGATTATTTCAGATAGTGTCATTGAAGTAAATGTGAAAGTAGTCACTGCAGGTACAGTACATATTATATATGTTTTTTTTTTAATATTAATATTATAGATCTATGAAGCTAAATCATTGTGTTGTCCTTTTTCAGAATGTCCTATCAGAGTAACAGAGAAGTCTTTTGTAAGACAATATTTAGATGCACCTTCATTTTCTAAGGCATTAGCTCAATTACGTATGAAAGATTTAACGAAACATCATACCCATCGTGACGAAGAAAACAGTAATAATAATAATATATCATTGTACAGTGGAATTGATTTTAGAAATCAATTTCGTATATCGGATTTAGGTGTTGATGATTCGTGTGTTCCAAGATATCAACTTGCCAGGATTAAGCATTCACAAACATTTTCTGGTGTTTACTTGTTACAGGTATTAAATATTTACGGTTCAAGGTGTAATAAATTGTAGAATATTGTCATTAAATAAATTTTTTCAGGGTAAAGAATGGTTAACTTCTTGGGTAATGTTAACGGATGAACATCCGGTAATAACACAATTTAATATATTGCCATTAATAGACGTCGGTGGTACACTTGATATTAGTGTACATTTAGAAATGGACAAAGTAAACATGAATAGTAATCTTTGAGTATAATTAAGTAGTTTATTAAATTATAATTATTTTTTACATGCATTTTAGATCATGACAAGACAGTTGGTTAAAGTTATACTTTGTATTCGACGTGGTCGTGTTCCAGATAGAGTTAAGGGTAGTATCGTATGTGAGGATTCGAGAATGTTAATGAACTTATCGTCTTTCGATAAACATGATTCAACTTTGTTAATACCGTATCCACAGCCAGATACGTGGTATGTTGCTTTGCATGCAACATGTCATTACAATGAGTAAGATCGTGTTCTTGAAGTATAAACTAAAATATAATCGTAATAGTAGTTTGCATATATTTATAATATGGTATTGTTTATATATTAGACGTCCTGTAAATTGCGAAATGGAAGAAATTCTAGTGTCGCTGGATATACGAACCAGGCAGTGTGTGTTCCCTGGAAACTACCCATGTGGTCACCATGGAATTTGTCAGGAAATTCATCGAGATATTCTTTATTATACAACGTGTAAATGCTTTGAAGGTTGGATTATTATTTGTATGACATAAATTCTGTAGTTATTTTCTCATATATTCTAATTATGAATCTTGTTGCATAGGATATAAGGGATGGGGCTGTACTGATGCTACTAGTGCCAGTCCTGAGTCATCTCTTCTCATGACAACACTGATGCTCACTTTAAGTAATGGTTTCTTCATACCTGCTATATATTTAGCTGTTAAGCGAGAATTATATACAGAGGGATTAGTTTATATGGCAACCATGCTTTTTTCGTCTCTGTATCATGCTTGTGATCAACACGTTATGACATATTGTGTTGCTAAATATGAAGTACGTACATTGTTTCATTTTATGACAGTTATTATGTTAACTGCCTCTTTTATCTTTTCATATAGATGTTCATGAAAAATTTTACTTATAGGTTCTGCAATACAGTGACTTCTTTTCAAGTATATTAGCGTTTTGGGTAACGCTCGTTGCAATGGCTGAAATACCAACTCGTTTTGTATCTTTGTGCCACATGTTTGGAGTTCTAATAATAGCTTTTGGAGTAGAGTCCAATAAAACAAGCCTAACTAGTATATTAGTACCTTTAGGAATGGGCGTTATGATTCCAGTAAGTAATTTAATAGATCTGCTTGTAAAATTATCATTTCTTATTTGCACATTTCTAGATGGGAACATACGTTTATCGTTGTTACCAGTTGAAAAAGTGGAAAAAACCTGATAGGATTTCAAAATTATTTGTGGGATTGTTATTGGCAACAATAGGTTTGTTGCTCTTTTCTTTAGTTGAAACAGAAGCTAATTATCAAGTATGTATAATATCATACGTGAAACGTTAGTGTGAAAAATCGGAAACTTGTACAAAAATTGTTATGTTTTTCCAGTATGTTCATAGCGTGTGGCATATGATAATAGCAATTTCATTAGTGTTCTTGCTACCGCCATCACGATTCGAACAAGCTGGTTCTTCAGGTACAAACTCATTCAGCGACGATAGTGAATTACTTGATTATAAGGATACACCTGACAGTCCGATTTTTACGGTGACTACTGGTCAGGAAAATTTGGTAATTGCATCGAACTGAAGATTGCATTAAAATTAAGTAGGGCAATGAAACCAAATACGTACCATTATTTAAATTACTTGTGCCAAAAGAGTGTTCTAATTCTCTAAAGAAGAAGGTAGGTTATAGTATTATAATGATCAAAATTAGAAAATTGTGTACTCATGTACACACACCATCTATGTGTACATAAAATATGTATTTATGTATAATTTTTACAATAGTTCCTAAGTCAACATATACATATGGTTATAGGGTAATCTGTGAGAAAAGTTTCAATTTAATACAACTCAACATACGTATAAAGAATACTTATAGTTTTAAACACTATATAAACTCACAATGGTGCTACTATTCTTACTCTGTTGTGTTTGAAATATACTCAGAAATACTAATAGATCTATTTTTATATACTTTTTTTATTGTTTAAAATTATATCTTATTACATTAAACAAGTTATTAAAAAGTGAGTGGCGCTTATTTTTCTTAAAGGATCACATCACTTAATTGCACTGGATTAATTTTATTATTAATACCGTAGTTTATAGTTACATACAAGTTTTCAGACATTCTTTATAACCATTTTTTAACTCTCAAGGACACGGACCGTGAATACGTCATCCCTTTTTTTCATAATTTTAAAAGGCAGCAGCAGGCTGTTTGTTTATCTTTTAACTTAATAATTTTCTGTTTTTAAAGATTGATAATTAGGATGAAAAAAAAAACATTTTTCGAGTAAAAAAATTAAAGAAATAGAAAACTTGTCTGTAGCAGTGGTATATGGAATACGCCGCCGATGTTCTTAAGGGTTAAATGAATGCTCAAGTAAGTTAATATGTGTTGAAATAGTTACAATATACAGAGATACACACATGTCTTTCCATATATTTTTATGGTACTTAATTTGCAATATAATATACTACTTATTTTAATTCATAAAGCATTCTAATGAACATTTCTCATTTGTATATAAACATAGTACTTCATAATACAGTTGGAAACATCTTATTATATATTTATTTATATATTTCGTTTATCTAGTAATACTGAAAAGTGTTAAGTGCATAGATTACCCTATGTAACCATTAATGTATCCAAAAATTATTATCGTTATATATTAATATTAAAATTATTGTATTTTATTTCTTACTCCTTTTTTTATAAAGTCATATATAATATATATATAATGTGGGTGTTCTCTGTAATTACTATAACTTTGGGAAACATGCATATGTAATACACTATGCATTGCAATGAAATAGAGAATCAAGTTATGTGTTCAATATTATTATATTTACTTTATGCATTTAGTCATGTTCAGAATTGCGTAAGGGACCACAGTAAATAAAAGGTACTACTAGCATGTTAGGAAATGAAAGTATGAATGCTGTGCCTAAACATAAATAAACTATTCAAGTGTAGTATCGAATTTCCAGAACTCTAATGACTTAACATTCTCAAATTTATCATTTTTGGCACGTAAACTCCAATAGAGAAAATACAAAAAAAATGACCTAAATTTACACTATTGATAAATATTATTTTTCTTTATTTTTTCAATTATTTTCATGGTTTTCACTTTATAGTATTTCAACTACATCTATAATTAGTAAGTAATTTATAGTTGCCATAGGTGTTATTTAAATATTAAATTAATGTTAAACATTCCCAAAGTTAGTCAGTTTTAATACAGAAGATGCACTCATGTTTTCTACGAATTCATGAAAAATTCCACTTTTGTATAAGTATGTGATATTTATCACAATATTCTATTTATAAGATGTTCAGTTTCTAAATATAATCTCATAAAGTCTAAATTATTTTAATTATTGTTAACAGTTTAAACTTTTACAATAATTTATATGAAATTAATTTTATATAACAAATCACTAAGTATAATATCTATTTTAGTTACTATTCAAATACCTCACAATGTTTAAAGTGCCATCTAAGATTTCTCTCTCATCCTATGCCGATCATATTACAAATTTTATTTTTACACTATTGCAACAAGGCAGGGTGATCGGAAAGAAGGAATTCATATAATACAAATGTTTAAAAAATTTATGTATGCTGCATTAATTAAGATTTTAAACGAAAAAGTGTAGAATGATATGGATATTGATGCTGGAGATTGTAATAACTAAATGTAATTGTATTATAAAGCGGTTACAAATTCAGAATATGTAAAGTTATATAAATTTTGGTATTCAACAAAATATTTTAAAACTCAGCGGATAACATTATGCATTACTTTAAATAAAGTAATAAATCTCTTAACGATCTATTACAATTTTTTTTTATACTATAACTAACTATAAAAAACTATTATGAACATAGTACCCCGTCCAAATCTATAGGAATATAATTTTTTTATTAATAGAATGACAGGAATTTATTACAGAAAGTGCATGAAATAATTTCTCAATTCTTTCTCTTGTACAGAGTTATTTATCTCTTTAATTGTTATTTAAATGACTTACCAGTTCCCATTATTATGATTCATGTATACTGTAAGTGTTAAACATCTTTTTTCTCTCATCGATTACATGTAATACATGTTTATATTGCTGCATTGTACACCTGAAAACATGCATGATACGTCCTGTCTAGTGATACGAGTGTAGGAAATTATATTAAAGAGATGTTTAGCATACACGCGTAAAGTATTTAAGAAAGAAGATTTAACATTTCAATAAATGTGTTTAAATAATTTATATCATGATCTATCGCTCACTTTTCAATTGCACAATCTCCGATCCAATCCGCTGCATTCCTCATTATAGTATATTGACTATTTAAATACCACGAAATACACGACATATCCATATTGACATCAGTCTTCTGTATTGATTGTTCGTATTCTTTTGATATATTAATTGCATAAGTGTAACAATACTGTATTTCGTTGCTAAAGATTTTCCAAACCTAAGAATTTCTCCGGTATTACAAAAATTCTTTCTTTTCTATGTCAGATGTACACAAGCTGTCTCAGATCAGGTAGTATCTACAACCGGGCAGCAGGTGATTTTATAAGAAAAAGTAAGTCAGAAAAAAATAAATAACTTTTTTTGTTCGAGCTTTCGTTTTCGAGAAAATGGGGTTTGAAAATTCATGTAAATCTCGTGTAATTGTGCTGGGAATAAGTAGAAACGGCCTGCAATGAACAGACACGGTAGCCAAATCCTATTCTACTGCCCGTGGACTGAACAAATTTTCAAATTCGATTATCTCGAAAACGAAGCATTAACCGAAAAAATTTTATTCTTTTTTTTTTCAACTTTTTTTTGTCATCACTTTCTGCTCGGTTGTAGTACCAGACCTGAGGCACCCTGTATACATAATTCTACGATACCTGTAACCACTTGTTCTGCAATAATATTCTCAGACTGTCTCTTTTCTTTAATTTATGTAAAGCGTAAATCGCCTCGATACCATCTTCTATATTCTTAATATTTTTAAATATGTCATTAATTAAATTTATCACCATGTTTTCTAATTGTTGAATCGTGTACCTAAACCGACAGATTTTTTTCAACCAATTAAACTTTGTAATATCGAATATAGTATCACGAGCAGCAGTAATTTTATTCAAGCTTTCGTAAAATAGATTTTCAATTTCTCGCCAATATGCCTCGTACTCGGTTCCTCTTGGACTTCCGAGTAATCCTATCTTAGTATACCTATTAAATAAAATACACATTAGTTTTCATCTAACTCATTTATACTTCTTTTTATAAATTCTTTAATTTTTAGTACCTTCCAAATATCAGTAATGCCTCGCTGATTTCAATCACGTCGTAGCATCTTTGTTTGAAAGTATCCATTTTTTTGAAAACCTCCGTTGCGTTTATATCCCATTTTTTATTAGGATTAATGTACAAGACAACAGTTGTCATCAGCTAAAAAGAATGTCTAACTACATTTTAAAATTCTTACAATATAGTGCAACATATAATACATAATAGAACTTACATTATCATAAATTGTTTTATAAATGTTACAACAAAATATACATTTCTCCAGTAGTTTCTTGCCCTCCTCTGGATTATTTCCAAAAATAACATCTAACTTAATGTAATTTTTGCATTGAAATATTATTTGCGAACTGAATGCTTTACAAAGTGTTTCTATATTGCTCCTAAAACAATATAGTTTTTAATTTGCTTTTCATTCATTTTTATTTTAGCGAAAAATGATCCTCACGTAGTATGATAAAATGGAGCTTCAATCCAAATATATAATATTAAGAGTAACGCTTCTGTTATAGAGGTTTCCGCATCTTCAGGAACGTTTAAATTTTTACAGAAATCAAGTAAAATATTTAAATACATTAAATTCGAAGATATTTCTTCTATTCTGGTTTCAATATGTTTAGCTAATTTTTCAAATTTATCCAGACTAAAAGAACGGAAGTTCCGGAGTATGTTGATGATCGATCGAACTTCCGGATTAACAAGTTGTGCGCGCAAATAATTTAGGTTTAAATCTGTGAAATTGTAAATGCACTTTAAATCATTGTTAATAGTTTAGAACTACGATTTATAAAAAATAATAATCTTGAATTATACAAATTTAATTCATGCAGATATATTTCAAGAAAGAAAGATTCCAGATGGCGTTCTTTAATATATAATTAATACATTGTACAAATAACTAACGTTTAGCTTTCCAGTAATTGACTTCATCTTGTATACATTCAATGTTTTTTCTACTGGACGATGTTACCGCCGCGTCATGTATTTGCACAATCCATGACCAAACTATTTTTTCTAATCTATCAACTGTTTCTCGTTTTCTTTGATCTTCTTCTGGGAGAATCGTTTTTCGATCTTCCCCTAACAAGAAGCAATCGATTTTGGTTGATGGTTCCAACAATTTGTTAAGAAGATTTTCCTTTGGTACATACAAAGTAGTCAAGCCCTTTGGTTCATAGATCTCTTTGGTCAAACGAATAATAAATTCGTGGAGATTTGAAAATACTTCATCTTTTATGACTGTTTGGTGTTAATGGAAAATTGTAGAGGCAATACGCTAATTTATATTCAATGTCAACTAATAAGAATATCATAAATAATGAATAATAATAACTTGTAGTTGTAACAATTTAAATAGAAATGATATGTATGAAAAATGTAAGAAGTATTGACTTTATACCCAGATAGTACATGACGCCTAGTGACGCCGTTAAGATGGCTTAAAGGCGCCTTAGACTTAAAATAGCCGTAAAATGGACGTCTTCAAAGCGTCATGTGCTATCTGGGTAGTAACGGTCATTTAAAATTCATAAATGGATACATGACGTATATTCGTTAGTGCGAAGTACAATTGGTGCATAAACGTTTTCCATGAATTTTAAAACGAAACTTTTAATATCTCCATTAATACTTCCAAATAATACTGTGTCGAGGAAATTTTCTGCTGTATATATTTGCCATGGCGATCTTAAAAAATACATAAACCCCTTCGATGCATATTTTGGAAAATTCAAAATCGCGGTCAATTTGTTTCCTTCTTGAAGTATAGTTAGCAGCACATGTGATGGATTCTCAAAATATTCTCGTATTATTTGGTCGCAATTTTCACTCCAATTTTCATCGCCGAATGCAGGGAATACTGTTAAATCTTTTACGTATTTCACCTGTAAATAATTTCAAATAAACATTTCTAATTGGTTCGTTAGGATGTATGCACTGTTGTATTGAATCTAATCGTACAGGAAGATACGATTTTATGCTGCACTAAAATGGTAAACGGAAGTCGCAAAAAGATCCTTCGATACTGACACAAAAGTACATTATATGATTTGTATGTTCTATATTTCGTCTATGGTTAAACCATAATTTAAAGTAGTCCAATAACTTAATTTAATACTGCACGGAAAAACTAATTTTTAACACGAAGCCAATAATTATGGTTAATTATTAGTGGTCTCAAGAGTACATCTTTTTTCCTACAAGTAATGTAAAATCTACATATATTTCGTTTAAATCGATGTATAATTTACTAAGATACGTATGATAGGCAATCAAATTTATAGTTCATAAAAAGCAGTAATATATTTAGCGATATATTACATTTACTGCTATACTCAACTTTCTCATCAAATGATAACTAGTGGGTATCTCGAAGTACGTGGTCTATAGATCAAATGTGATCGCAAAAAATCAAGGTCGGAAAGATTAAAGAAATTCTTACTAAGATAAGTAGATCTTTCTCAGTAAATACTGGTTTCTCAGGTTCTGGAGGAAGTTCTTCTTCGACTTCGGGGGATTCTAGAATATAGTGAAGTATTTTACCGTATTTTCACTCTATTCAAGATTAATAGACTAATATTTAATATTAATACTTAAGATTATACAAAATTTAAAAACTATGTATGTATGTTCATTGAGAACATTTATGTCCGATACTGATGTCCACGTTTCTTCTACCTTGCCGCCCAAAATCTTCTTCGTCGGTGTCCATGTCTAAAAACTCTCGATGTGTGTCCACCATTTTATCTGATTTTTTTGTACCATCTAATTTTTGCTCTTTTTTAGAACTCATGACTTATAATACTACAACTGTTAATAAATACTTATAGGAGAAGTTTAGAGATTAGAATGCACGTATCTTTACACGGCAACCACCTTTACTTCAATGAGTATTAGATCGATATAATACCGTTGCTACACTTTAATTTACCATTCGAAATATAAATATTTTCATAAATTGATGCCGAACGAAGATTAAATAACGAGACAACAAAAAAATTCATTGATATTAAATATACAATGAATAACTACACTAACGATAGACAAACATAACTGTCATAACTGGTTGCTCTTAATTTACAAGTATTTATAGTTCTAGCAAATTTCAAATATCGAGACAAGTGTGTACAATGCCATCGGTATCCGAAAATATATTTATCGGTTCGTTTATTCATACAAACGAACATGGTGAATTGATCGCCGTAGATCATGGTGCGATATACGTTGGAAATGGAAAGGTATTTATCGATAAATTTTTATTTATAAATATAATTGTAATAATAAATTACACTTTCAACCTGGTACAAATATTCTAGTGGACAAATTGTATAATGTAAAAAAGTTATAACTTGAAATATAATATATTTGTTAATTTTTAGATTAGCAAGATAGTGATAAATCCAAATTCAATTGATACAAACAATGATAACGTAACTGTTCTCACTAAAAGTCAATTTTTAATGCCAGGATTTATTGACTGTCACATTCATGCAGTTCAACTTCCTAATTTAGGAGTTGGATATGATAAAACGCTTTTAGAATGGTTGGAAACTTATACCTTTCCCTTAGAAAAGAAATATGTAGATGAAAAGTTTGCCGAGCAAGTGTTTGATGCTGTTGTAGTAAGTTTCATAAAAGACTTGTTAAAATAAATTAATATATTCTGCATTATATATACATTAAATTCAGATATAAGTAAACTAAATTTAAATTACAGAAGCATACTATTGCACAAGGCACAACTACAGCATGTTATTTTGCATCACTGTACACAAAAGCATCTGTGATTCTGGGACAAAAAGCTGCAAACATAGGTCAACGGGCTCTTGTTGGAAAACTAAGTATGAATTCCGAACGTGCTGACAATTATTACGAAACCACTGAAGAATCTATAGTAAATTTAAATGAGTTTATAAACAATATTACTGAATTAAATGTTAGTTATAAATGTAATTTTTATTTTTATTCTATTGCTTTCTTCATATAGTGTTTTACTAATATTAATTCTTATAGAGTCCTCTTATAAAACCAATTATAACTCCGAGATTTGCATTAAGCTGTGATATAACACTGATGAAAGAATTAGGAAAATTGGCAAAAGAAAAAAATCTTCACATACAGGTACTACATAAAATGAAGTTTCCGTTTAGTTGATGCAAGTGAATAAATAAAAAATTTATAAGTAATTATCAGCACTGTATTAAGGAATGCTTAAATGCAATTTATAGAATGGTGTATTCTGTATATACCATAAATTTCAATACGTGTAAAATATTTTAGAGTCACATATGTGAGAATCACGATGAAATAGAGGCTGTAAAAAATAAATTTCCTGAATATGCTTCATATGCAGAAGTGTATGATGCAGCTGGCCTGCTTACATGTAAAGTAAGTTAAATTGTAATACGCACCAAAATAACAAAATTCTTATATTGAATTTTTTTCATCTATTTGCAGACCATAATGGCTCATGGAATATATTTGACAAATTCTGAAATTTCATTATTGAAGAAACAAGGTGCTGCTGTAATTCACTGTGCTTCCTCAAATACATGTTTAAAAAGTGGTTTGTGCGACGTGCGGAGACTGAAAAATGAAGGAATAAAAATTGGTCTTGGCACTGGTGAAAATAAAATTATTTAATCATTTTGTGTTGATATCTTGAGTAACTTGTGACTAACTCAGATTATATATTTACAGATGTAGCAGGTGGACAAAGTTGTAGTATGTTAGATGCAATAAGAGCAACTTTACAAGTGTCAACCCATCTGTCTCTTTTTAAAACTGATTATGAACCACTCGATTTCAAAGATGTATTTCACTTGGCTACATTAGGTGGTGCAAAAGGTAACTCATAAAATAAATAAAATTCTATGTTTTCTTTTTTACATAAATATATTAAATTCTACACTTTATATACTACTCTTTTTTTAGCACTTGCTATGGATAATGAAATAGGTAACTTTGTAGTGGGTAAAGAATTTGATGCCCTTGTTGTAGATACAAGTGTAAGTGGTGGATATTTAAATGATTTAAGACAGTATACTTTAGAAGAAAAGCTTCAAAAGTTCATATATTCTGGAGATGATCGTAATGTAGCTGAAGTATACATAAGTGGACATAAAGTTAAATAAAAGTAATACCTGATAATACATGTTATTCATACTTACAGGGTTGGAATTTATTCAGAATTTGTAGAGCTTAATTACTTTAGCAATATAATCACACAGTCATAGTCAATTTGAATCCGTAGTTACACCAGCTAGAAATAAAACAGTTTCAGTAAGATGATACTGTAGAGTACTGTAGACTGTAGTATATTACACATATGTAAGGAAAAATATTATTTTATACACAAATATCACCTGCATGTTGCTTTAGAAATGTTTTTATACTTCTAGTAGCTTGTTCAAATGCTTTCTCAAATCCAGCACTATCATCATCCTATTAATAAAAAAATAAAATCAGTGTAAAAGAAATTATTTGATACCGATGGAGAAATATAGATGATATTTACAAATAATGGGTCCCGTATATTTAGTTCTCCATTTGGATCATACATTCCAAGGAGTTCAATTTTTGCTTGACTATTCTTAGGTTGCATTTGACATAATTCATAAGTTATACCACTATCCATTCCAAGTATCCAATCATATTTATAGAAATCTTCTTCCTTAATCTGAAAGCAGAATCTAATATATTATGTCACTTTGGTATTTTTAAATTTAAAAATATAATTTTGCTCACCACTCTTGCTTTATGAGTATATTGTGTAATGCCTCTTTTTTTAAGTGTGGACATAGCTCTAGGTTCTGGACATTTACCTACATGATATTGTAATAGTGCAGCACTATCTACTTTCCAAAAATTATTTAGATTCATTTGCTTTAATTGATCGCAAAACACAGCTTCTGCAATTGGAGAACGACAACTGTTTCCTAAAATATATTATTGTGAAAACAAAAAGAAACATTCTTATATTGGTTTCTTACAGAACATAATTTGTTTTTTAACATACCTAAACATACCATTAATACTTTCTTTCTTTGGGACATGTTACTGTCTAATAGCTTTGAAACAGAGGTAAGTATTTCTAAAAAATGGAGCACCTAACAGTATTTTTTAAGGTTATCTAAGAAACCTTGTAGCACAAAATAGAATAGGTATATGTATATACATACATTCTACAGATAACTATTATAGATCAATTTATATGGATGCCCAAAAAATAAAAACTTACTAATCTACAAAAAGATGTAAAGAATGTTATAAAACTATTTTCAGAAACAATGTTTACAATTTTCAAGTAGTGATAAATCAGTATGTACTTTATTACTTTAACAAATATTTATTTTTCATAAATTTTTGAATATACAATCTTTCAGTTTTGTTTTTCAAAATAATGACTTCTTAAAATTTACCTTAATCACGACTTGTTACCTGTAATTAATAAGTTTATAGTCAGTTTATTCACTTTGCACTAATTCATTAATTAAAGCCATAATTAATACCTTCGTGCTTTGCCAGAAAAGCTATTACACTACGGACACATTGTTCATATGCTTTATGAAATCCAACACTGTTATTATCCTGTAAGTAAAATTTCTATCAATTTAGCCATTGTCCTGTAATACAGAATATCAGTTAAACTAATATAATACATAGAAAAGATATGATAATGAATAAATGTATGTATATAATATGCCATTATAAAATATGCAAACGCATAAATGTATTACTTACATAATAAGGATCTCTTATTATAGTGTCTCCTTGCGGGTCATAATTTCCAAGAAGCTCAATTTTAGCAGTGCAATTACTAGGTTTCATATCATTTAATTCATGAATGTTATTATTATCCATTCCAAATATCCAATCAAATCTGTTGAAGTCATTTTCTGTAATCTGTAACACATCATGCAAAGACACTAATATTTGTTCTACATTCTTCTTATCTTGTAAAAAACTTACTCACAGGTCGCGCTTTGTGTGAATAATTTGTAATACCATTTTCCCTTAGTGTAGACATAGCTCTGTGATCTGGACCTTTACCTGTATGATACCCTATAAGAGCTGCACTTTCCACTTCCCATAAATGGCTTACACCCAACTTATTTATTTGATCGCTAAATACAGCCTCTGCTATAGGCGACCGACAGATGTTGCCTGTATGTAAAGTAAAAGTCAATTTTTATATTATTAATGTATTCCATTTTTTACCTTCACTATTTTAATACTATAAAATTTACCTAAACAAATCATAAGTACTTTTTTCTTTTCGGCCATACTATGAATGTTTTATATCGTTTAAAACAGAAGAATCTGTTTGCTAAAAGCAGCCAAGAGTAAGCAGCAGTAATCAGTTCTTTGCAGCACTTTGCAGTTTTTTTAAAAGACTTTAAAAAATGAACCTGGCTTTGTTGCAACTATAGACATATATACTAGACTGCGCGGACTTATGGCAGGGATGAAGTCGGCACTAGAAAAAGAGAACAATAACTGGAGTGACTTTCTTCTCTTTCTAATGGGGCTGTGATGGGGGATTCTGTACGGCTGCAGTGGAGACATTACATGCGTGCAGCATTCCTTCGTTACATCTGTTTTTGAGAATAATTTTCGAGTAATAATTAATAATGGTGCAAACTGAATATTATTAACATCTCCATTAAAATTTAATTTTTTGAAATTTTAATTTCTAAAATTCGTTATAATTGAGCACTATTTAAAGATATAAGAGTAAAATAAAAATGAACAATTAATAAAACAAACTATATATTTTAGACTTAACAATGATTAAATTGAATTTCCGTAAATATCTATGGATCGATTGCATTTTTCCACCAAGATTTCCTCTGGGGGAAAATCAAATACATAAACAATAATAATATAATAATTATTATATAATATCGACGTAAATAACACAAGTAAGCAGATGCACGTTATTGCAGAACATTTTTGACTTTGTTTTATCGAAATTTTATTGTGACGAAAAGATGTAACAGTTATCCCTTTCCCTTTATACGATTCTCACATGAAAGTGCGTCTTAAACGTGACAAGAAGTAGAACAGTCAAGTCAGCATTCAGCCATTACAATTTTACTGTAAAGACGCGTCGCGTGTGTTTGATCGACTGTGTTTCATATTCTAATTAACAAAATTGTCATTTTTTTCTTAGATATTCTGTAAAATATCAAATAGAACAGTGGTAATCATGAGTGATAGACCGAGTAACGGCGAATATGAATTTAAAAGGGAAGAAAATGATGACACGAATATACGTGATTCGTCGGAGAAAGATCGTGAGGACAAGGAGCATCAAGTTGACAAAGCCGGAGAATATGTCCGTGAACTTTTACAAGAAAAAGTAGAATTGGATTCACAGAAATGGCCAAATGCAACCAGATTAATCGATCAGGGTAAACAACATTCTTATTATTTTAATATACTTTTTTGCAACACCGTGTTTTTAACGTTTATGTTGACGTTCTTCATAATGTTTCGGTGTTTACTTCTCTGATATATTGGTGATTTATTTTTTCAAGCAATATTATTTATTACAGTTACTTTATATGGATTAGTTAAAGTAGTTGCAGATTTATTTTAAGGTTAAAAAGCTGATTAAAGTAAAACACAGTATGTTTTAGATCTATTACATGTTGATAGAAAAGTATGTTAACCATTTTTTTTCACCTTGTGGGTATATTGGGATGATGAAACTCGGGCAGTGTGATGACTATATACGCTTGTACAAATGCAACGCATTTTTCGTACAGTCGTAAATATTTTCATACGAGTGTATATGTATATATGTATACCTGGGAGATCTTCCCACATCACACACCATTTCATACATCTTCACACACTATTCATAGAATCAAGAATAATTACTTTGTTCAATAGAAATTCAGAAAACTCAAGCTATGGGGAAACCAATAAGGGATCCGAAGTATGTGGATATTTATCGTGAAAAACAAATTCGTGTTTCGGTTAAAGTATTGGTACCAGTACGGGAGCACCCAAAGGTAATTATATCTTGCAATCAGTATTGCATGGAGATGTGTGGGTAGACAGAATCGTTAATGTAATTGTTAATGCTTGTAGTTTAACTTTGTTGGAAAGTTATTGGGTCCAAAAGGTAACTCTATGAAACGTTTGCAAGAAGAAACTATGTGTAAGATGGCAGTATTAGGAAGAGGATCAATGAAAGATCGTCAAAAGGTATACTTTGATTATTTATTTTTAACACACAACAAGACTGTTGTGTGTTATTTACAATCTAAATAATCATGGGTAAGAAATTAGACTTTTATTATATTTCTATTACCTAAATTTTGGTAGTTGGTCGAATCACATAATTTTACTAGTAGGGACAGTTCAAACTATCGATTCCCTCCCCAAGTTAACTGCCATTTTCTTATGTAATATCAGTGAAAATTTCATTACTGCGTGTAGATTTGTCACAACAATGTGCCAAACGTTGCTTACATTTACTACCATCGCAAGAGACAATTTTCAGATACAATTTCTTAAAAAATGTAGGATAATGTTCAAAAGCCAGTAAACTTACAGATAGTCACGGTAAAGTGTGTAAACAGTGCTGACGTTTGGTGTCTAAGTTTTGGTATGTAAGTTTTGGTGTATATGCTACTTCAGGAAACCGAGTGTCGAATGTCATTGGACCCAAAATATGCACATCTGTCCGACGATCTTCATGTCGAAATAACGGCTCTCGCGCCCCCCGCGGAAGCTTATGCTCGTATTGCGTTCGCATTAGCGGAAGTTCGAAAGTATCTGATTCCCGATAACAACGACAATATACGGCAAGAGCAAATGCGAGAAATGGAGATGAGCATGGCTGACGATCCCCTGAACTCTGACGACAGAAGACCATCGGTCAGAGGTGTCCCAACCGGAGGAGGAATGTTAAGGCCCTCCGCTAGGCCCGCGTTATCACGATCATCGAGAGGTTGGTTATGAACGCATTGGCTATTAGAATCAAATACAATTATGAATAGTAATAAAACTGTAAAATATTTAGCTGCGATACTTCCGCCGCCGTCGAGTCGAGGTCCAATCTCTCGGCCCGTAACAGCGAAAAGTAAAATATTCTCTATTTTGGATCGCGCAAGGGTCGCTATGGACCAAAGCTATGAGTAAGTGTCTATACTTATCGGGGGACATGAATCATCGTTTGTATGCTTTCTGATCGTGATTTATGAGCGTCCTTCTATTTGCAGCTATGAGGCCGCTACTCCGCCACCGAGCAATCGCGTTGGGTCGCATCACGATTATGATTACCATGGGTCGACGAGTAGCAGTAGTCGATACGGGGATCGTCATTACACGCCAACCTCGGGGTAAGTGTAACTTTCATATTTTTTTAAAGAAACAATTTTTTAACATTATTAACGCGCAGTTTGGAGAGTAGACTGCGTCTTTCGTAGAACAATGATTTTTAAAAAATATGTACAATTTACGTTTTGCGAGTAATGCTGAGACGTTTCGTCGTATAATTTTGCTAATGGTAAAGTATTTTGATTGTGTGATATGCACATAAATTAACAGGTCACTGATGTCGAGTTTGTTAACCCTTGCCCAATGAATGTTGGGTTATTCTGAAGCGCTTACGATAACAACTTCATATTAATTTTTTTACAATAATTCATACATACGGAATGTCGTTGACAAAGTAATCTTACGAGAGATAAAAGCAAAAATGCCCTATTAACATAGCGTGGCAAACAAATACAGTAGGGCCCCGTATAACGCGAACGAAAAATTGCGCCACTGCTTCCGTATAACGCGATTAAGTTATTCTGTACATATAATGAAAAAACTTTACGTTTTTGTTGTTCTAAAATGAAATAAAATGCATATTATTTTCTGTTATATTAGAAAAAATTTTTATTTAGTTTTAACTTTTTCCGCTCTAGGTCCCGTATAACATGAAATTCGTATAACGCGAAATGTATCGTCCACGATATAGGGGGTTCTACTGTAGTTAAATAAATGTTAGAAAAGATTATGGGACGTATCGATGTCTAACATTTCAAATATGACCATTTTCTTGTGCACGAAGTTCAATTTACTGTATTGCGTGTAGTTAAGGAATCTAGCGCGTCTACGGTAACAGAGTGTCAGTTATTGATTGCTTCGTTGTATCCTAGAGATGAAAGGAACACAACATTTTCTTGTAATTCAAATATAAGTATAAACACTGAGTCATATCTACGAAACTTATCAGAATACAGACAGATGTTGTTACTAACGTTACATACTGATACCTCTGATAATTTCTGTAACAATATTTATGTTGCTAAATATGTGTTTTCCATACAATGGTAAACGAGATATTATTTATTATATTTTATCAATGCATATGGAAGATATATATGAATTTTTAATACTGTAGTATATTATTGCGTATCGTTATGGCTATAAATAAATCATCTAGAGATGATATGTATCATTCCTTGAGGTACACAACGTACGAGTACGATGATGACTCTGTTCCGCACTCTTCTCACGAGTACTATGAAACATCCGAATATCCAGGTAACGTGTTTGTATTTACTATTATTATATTATATCGTCCTTAAAAACATTTTTAACGCGTTAAGTAGAATTTGTACGTACCTGAGTGTTTAGAATTATAATTTACAAACATAGATACATACGTCTATGACATACACAGAATTAACATAATACCAATGACACTTCCAATATTATCAATTTAAATACTTTAATAATTCTATGTAGATTCAATTTTATGGACTTCTTGTTCTATAAAACTAATTAAACTCTTTGAAGTGAACTGAAGCGGATGAAGAATCTAATACATCTAAACGAAAGTTGTTGGAATATGAAAGTTTTAATAATGTTAAATTTACAGCTTTAAATTGAAAATTTAAATGCATCCGAATACAATTAATTCCTAAAAGATTTGAATAAGGTTCAGCTACAATAATTCGCTTTTAAAATTGATTGAATATTCACAAAAATTCTCAGAATTAAATTATGGAACTGATCGTCTTTAAACTTGCATAAACGCTTTACATTTCTCAAAATAACAGACAATTAAAAATTCATGACAAAACAAGTAGAGAATTTTGTACTTGCTATTTAAAGTAATTAGAACCTTCTTATGGAGCGTATGGGATTAAGTTAACGAAAACATGATGAAACTATAGAAATTTCAGTAACAACTAGTTCATTAATTTATTTTAAACAATTGTTATTATTAAATAGTTCGTAAATCTGGCATTCATGTAGATAATAAAATTGTATCATATCTCATTAAAAAAGTATTTTTCTTGAATCTTTATAATTTTTATGAAAGAAAAATTATTTCCCTTTGGTAAATTTGCATAAATCAAAAATTTCTAGCGCCCATACGCTTCAAATATCATCTACCCGTTGCTTAGAACATCTAAAGAAGCTTACCCATAATATTGACCGCTAAATAGACACGAATGGCTTCGCATAACAGCCTCAAATTTTAATTCAGTAATCCCTCAGCCTCGTTTTTATGAACATTCTCTTAAATACGTTAAAAAAGAAACAAGAAACAGGAGAATAAAATGAAAGTTAACACCCGCTTCGCGTAGTGTGACTAGGATAATAATCCGATTAATGTATCGTGGTGATGTTCTGAATTAATTGTAAGTAATGGAAATGAATCAATCCATGACATTCGCAGAGGAATCATCGAGCCGCGCATGGAAATCGTACAAGACGACAACGACATCGGGCTCAAGCTCGCGCTACCGCAACACTCCGTACTCACGACCTTCCAAGTAAAAAATCCAAGCAAAACAGTCATCCTATGATTTCTCTTAATCTCTTCTTCTACTTCTTCTTCTTGACGTTTTCTTTCATGCGATAATACGCAACGCTTAACGAGAGAAGGATTTTGTTTCTGACTTTATTATTTCATAGCCCTAAACCGTTGACGTGTAACCTTCCTAACGCACGACGACCGTTGGTACCTGCGATGCCAAAACCCATAAACGACCGAGACCGTTTTTAAAACGAACGGAGACATGGAAGAGACTAAAAACCACGGTAAATGACACGCAGGCAGATATTACAACTTTTCATCGTATTGCGACGATTAATAAGTAAATATACCAAATTCGATCACTTTCATGGTTACATTTTGATCTTACGAGTGTATTTAAATTCTCTCTTAATTTTTCGATATTCAGGGGGTTAAAAAAAGGCTTACAGGGACGATGATACTGCTTAAATGGAGTAAAGAATGTTTAGAAAACAAGGAAAAATGTGGTTCCCAGAACACGTTTTATAAAAATTTAAATAACATACGGTAGAAAAATTTTCTTTTACGTGCGTTTCCAGGATTAATTAATTTTTAGTTATTTATAGCATGGACAGTATTAATTATTTCATCACGTTGGCTACACATTTTTTAGTTAGTTTAATGCATACCATCTGCTCTTTAAGTCCCGAAACGATTTTTTAACACTCATGAGGGGAAGTTCTCAAGTGTAATCTTCAATGTTTAAGCAGTATTTGCCAGTTTGTAGTAAAAACTGACAAAAGCTGCTCAAAAACTGAGGGTCACATAGGGGGCGTTCCCCTTGTCAGTATACCCACTCTGATCGCTGAGAAAAATCTGTCTCGCATTCCTTGTCTGTTTTCTATGTTTTCTAATCTCTGAATTTTCAATTCTGTGTAACGAAGTCGACATGCTTTTCAGATGAATTTATCGTGGCCGCTGGATAAGCCGGAACACGTAATACAATGAAAACTGTAATCAAAGTGTCGCGGCGACTTCAATGCCACTTTTCTCGCGTACGATCACATGCTAATTCGCACCCGGTACAGAGTCTGAATTACTTTTTTGACGTTGCGTTGATTCCGTACTTCTGATTCTCTGTGAAAGACTACAGAGAAAAAATTAAAAGAAAAAATCAACCCACTCCTTGAAATCCCTTCCTTGAATGTGTTACACATCAAAACTGGAAGGCTAAAAGGACCAAGAGGATCAAATGGAGAATGAAAAAACAAGTAAATCCGTCGAATAAGCCTGTATCATTGCACAATTTATCAGCAAAGAAAGTCAGAGCTGTGTCAGATTTCATCGACTTTTTTTTTATGAATATGATAGAATTTCGTAATTTTCTTTTATTATACTATTTTATACGTGTACTTAAGTTTTCGTCGTCTAGATTGATAGTGTGTTGGAAACTCTGCGACCGTAGTGACACGATATATTGAGAATCTCTAAGTATTTTAAAGAATCGAACTTTTGTACACGTTCTTCGAAAATTTACTCTTTGGTTTTTTATTGGTCGCACAGGGGTTAGACGTTGATGTGCGAAGAGAAATACACAGCTCGGAGCTTCGTGCGTCTTTTAATTAATTGTTGCAATGAATGTAGCAATACATGTCTAAAATGGATAAAGTAAATATTGTAAACGATTATTCAGTGGCAACTGAACAGATAAATGACTTTAAACATGTTGCAATACGGTTACGCAAATTATATATTATTCGTATAATCTTAATTTGTATTTACATTTACGTGGCAATGAAAACGTAATTAAAGTAACATAGTAGCCAGTAAACAAAAACATTAAATAAATGTTAATGAATACGTATGTAACTAAATACACAAAATATGAAGCGACGATTTCTGTAGTTTGAGGATATAGCGATTACAACATTATAAAAACCTGTAACCTTATAATCATTCGATATAAATATATAAAAATATCGCAAAATAATTTATGCGTAAATATTATTTCGATTTCAAAGTAATTATCTGTTTTCTCCTATATATGTAATTCACTTAAACTGAAATAAACGAACAGAAAATAATAGCGCTATTGTAAGCAGCGTTTGAAAAATCTTTAATTAAAACCCTGATTAATCAACACCACGATAATCTGCAAAAATGTAAATAAATATGTCTAGATTCAACAAGTGACGACGCTAATACATTCTGCAGTTTGCAACGATGTCTTTTTGTTAACATTTTAATAACATCAGCGTAATCGCGATTGAATATCGAATTTTAATGTTTTAAAAAGTTCACAAGATATTACTTAATATTGAAGTATAATACCGAAGTGATATAATAAATTTCATTGAATGTTACGAAAGATTTGTATTCTGTTTACGTTAACAGATTAGGTTTTCTATATGCCTATTGATACCTTTACTTTCTCAAAGTTTTCTCGAAGCGCTCAAAACATTTACTTCTAACATCGTTTTTCGTATATCCTTCTTAGGTGTATAGAAGCATAAGGAAAATCACGTGGGAATGCGTTTTTGTGGATTGAAATATTTTATTCTCCTTCTGTTTCTCTGATCAGTGGAGTTCAAAATGCCTTACGATCACGTGAGTATATTTCTATCACGAACAATAATATTTACATTCAGATTTAGAATTTACTTTAAAGAATGTACAGGTAATCTGTAGCTTTGCAGGCACATTTGATATTAATCCTATTTTTGTTCAATTCAAATCCTAAGGAAATTTTTAATATGTTTGCTGATAATTGGCTGTAGCAACTTTAACCCGTGGTAGGCACACATCACTCCAGCACCCACTGTAGGCACACTGGTACGAATCGGAATTTTCAAACCTTAAACGTATGTTTTTTATAGAAAATTTTCTCAAGAATCGATTGGTGATATCCACATTTCACGGAAAGTTTTATGTTTTTCATAAATGTTAAGTGAAGAAAGCAAGATTGTGAAAAAATCAATTTTTATTACTTTTTATGACATTTTTTTGCAATAGAGTGAAATGAAACAAATCTTGCTGGATGTCAGAGTTGAAATGATGTATTATAGTAAAAACTATTTCATTCAAAATATAAATGACTATTTTTTAAGGTACTCTGAAGTTTGGATAGTTTTAACGTGGGATAACAGGGCAAATCAATGCTTAATTTTGTGTACAAAATGTTTTGATTAAGAATATTGAAACTAGAGCATGCAATGGAAGAAAGAAATTTCTATATTTGCTCTTGACTCTATGAATTATTTTATAAAAAGTTATATTGCATAAAAATTTGCCGTCTATTTATAATGTATAAAATATGGATAAATAAGTATTTATGTTAAAATTACTTTCTTTCGTGCAAAATGAAGCTGTTGAGTACCCAAAACATTTCGTAAATTTTTTAGAAACACCAAGTCAGCAACCATTATCGGCACACAGGCGCGAAATCGCACAAACACACACTTTTGATGTTACTCCTTCGAAGACTAACGCGTAAATGTCCCTCGGACTCTTACTACCTGACATTGTAGGGGACAGATTGTATATTTAACATAGTGAAACGAGACCTATACGCCCGCTTATTTACCTGTAAATATTCAACACCTGAAATTTTTGCTGTTGCGAATTCGCACCAGTGTGCCTACCATGGGTTAAGGAGATCTTTCATTGTAAATTATAATTTCATTGTTATTCCTTAACTCACAATTTAATGTTTTATATAAAATTACAAGACACTTTTGTTGTAATATTATTTATGCTATTACTAAACTAGATCTTGGCCTTCTTGTAAATAGCTTTGGCTGCACCGAACAACTTTATGAGCTTTACGTATTAAGAAAGTGCTTACTAATCTTCCTAAAGCAGAGTTAACGTTGTTATCAAAGAATAATCAGAAAAATTGGTAAGTTTGCTGTAAAACAAATCTTATCTGTATTGCTAGTACATTCGCCTGCTTTCCTTGTTTGTTTCGTCCAACAATCTAGAGGTGGCGAGATTTTCTTTCAGGAAAAGTGCACGCAGATTATTCATAACGTTATGATTACATCATTCATAAAAAAGTAGTGCTCAAATATCAAATAAATTCAATTCTGTTTATATTAAGACCAATTTTTGTGAAATTTTATAGAATTAATATTCGGTGTGAAAACAATTTGTGGTGAACAAACTAGTGTTTGTGCACATTTTAAACTTGAAAACTTTAAAAATATGTAAATACTGTAATCATAACATATGTTTCGTTGTCTAGTTAGATGTAAGTAATTTAAATTAGTCGAAGTGCCGAGTAGAGCGAAATGCAAATTCTATTTCTTTAAATTCATAAGAGTGTAGATCTAATTTTGTTACTTTTTAGGGAATATATACCAATTTTATATACATATTTGTTACCGGAAAATAAATAAACGAAATATACAAATCAACCAACTGTTTAATTGTTATTTTAAAAAATATATTTAAAAGTTGATATGTATCTTTTATTTTAACAAATTTTGTTAGAATTAATACTTTCATGTATGTATTTCGCGCCTTTCAAATACATACATGATGTACCGCCCTAGGTGTGAACGTTAAATTCCCCTAGTAGGTGGCGCCACTTGTTCTAGTTTTTCAAAGGTGGCGATTGCAAACGCGGTGTATACGTAGCAAAGTGCAGTATTTGTCTTTTTCCATTTATAAAATGTTGTGTCAATCTTTCTGAATGTGTCTATAGACTCTTTAATGTACAGTGCAACATATTTTTTCATTATTAACCGGTGTACTTTCACTGATGATGTACAACCGAGGAGAAGTTTCACCAGTGGACCAGTACAGTCATCGAAAGGCAAGTACAATTTATTTTCACTGATAGAAGAATTTAAAGCATTATGGAACAGAAAGTGTTTCACGAAAAATAGTTAGTCCAATTAATTTGGGACAGGATTTCTAAGAGAAATGTATTTGAAATCTAAGTATATATTCCTTTTTTTTTACCATGGTTTTAACCCTTTGCGGTCCTGCCTCGAGACTGACTCGACATTCATTTTTGATGCAATCCCACGTTCTCTAGAAGTCTCTGGCATACTTCGTAACATTCCATCTGCATCGTACGTAAATACTATCATAATCCTTCTTAAATTTTATGGGTGTATTATCACATCAATCTAATAGAGTGTAGTTTAATTATATTTATGCAAGGCCAAAAGAGAATATCAAAAATACTTCGAACTGCAAAGGGTTAACGTATTGCGTTCGGTTCAAATAACCTACTCGTGTTAATGAATTTTAATCTTATAATGTTTCTAAAATGTGGAAACTATGTATTTTCCAATTTATACAAGTTGTTTTACTTTTTTTTAATTATTTTTAAAAGTTTAGTGGCATAGTATCGGTAGGATATCGAGATGTTAGGATTTAAATATCAAAGGAGGCATCGTCAACGCGAATGGCGGTTAAATTAACGGTCGCGCCGAGTATAAGTATCTAAATTACTTAGAAACAATATTCTTATTTATTTATCACACACCAATATACAAAAATGAAATGTATAATCAATATCAGAATATAATATACTACGAAATTCAAATATATTTAATAAAGATATATCTGAGTATCTTACAAGATTAGAATGATGTTTCAACGTGGAACAAACAAAATTGTCTACAACATTCTTTGCAGTTGGCACAGAAATTCTGGTAGAAAACGTCTTTCTACGGCCGCTCTAAGGATTATAAATAAGTATTAATTTACGGGGCCTTAGTCTAACGAGTTCGCCTAAGTAGTTGTGAGTGAAAATAACGAGTACAAGATTTTTCCTCTTTCTCTAATCTCTCTCTCTCTTTCTCTCTCTCTCTCTCTCTCTCTCTCTTCCTCTCTCTCTCGCCCCTTTTTCTTCTAACTAATCCCGAAATATTGGTCTGAAACTCGATAAAAGGTATTTACTTGCTCTTTTCGTATTTTCCTTTTACGAATTTTGACAAAAATAAACTGAGACTAAAGCGCACAACAACAGCGCAATAAGTGAGGAAAAAATCCCGTGTTCCCCGTGAGAACGTAAAATTTTTGCTGGATGCAACGAAAGTCTCGACGACGCGGCTTGGGTTGCTTTGAACTTTTCTTCGGAATGTTACACTGTCTAATTTGAAAAAACGGAGCGGTATCTGGCGCCCACCACGACCACGCTAAATACCTCATCTCTATGAAAAAACATGGAATGATAATAGTAATTCATTTTTTTTTTCGCCTTGTTATCGGTTTATACCTTAGTAATATGTACGATTATATCACAAGAAAGATTCAAATACTCTGTACATAATATCCCGGAACGCGAGACGTTCGATCAGGTTTTCCTTAAATCTTACATTTACATACGCCTAAGATTTAATTACAAAGTTAGATATGTCTCAGGTTCACCTGGTATTGTACTTCGACGCGATTCCCCGTGCTTACACTCCATTAGTTCCATCATCGTATTCTGGATCCGATAGAGCGAGCACGTGATACGCGTTTCGGTCCAGACGAATTCTTTCCGCGTTCGATCCTCTCTGTCCCACGAGGTCCAACGCGACCAGAGAGCCACCGTGTACGCATGTCTTATAAACTCTAAACTCGACCACCGTTTCCGAACCTCTTTACTAACTTCGATATCGTTTTAATTGGCACATCTCAAATGGCAACTTTTCGCATTGGCACGATGAGTGATCCTTGGAACAGATCCTTAGGCTTCCTCGAGACGCGTCGCAGCTGACGATCGCAGAAAATGCGATGAACCTTTTCTCGTTTTTCTTTTTCTTTCTCTTTTTTTTTTTTCAAGTTTTTCAACGAAAATTGTTGGAGGTGTTTTTGGCAAGGGAGAAAATACAGTCTGCGATCGATCGCCCGGTTTGTTAGGCTCTTTTTCGGTAGTTGAACGGCACTGATTATGATCTTTGCATCGTAGAAGAGTAATAGTATCGATGACAGTTCATTTTCGTAATGTGTGTGTGAACGTGTTTCGAATTGGAAACAAACAGTCAATTGAAAACGTGTGTCCTATTCTTCAAGCGATAGCTTGTTCGATGTTTCCGTTTGAAGACGCAATAGAGGCTTCTGTGGGGCATATTCTGAGGTGACAAGTCTATGGAATACTACACGTTGACGAGAATACGAGGTTGATGAAACATATAGTAAAGCATTCAGTGGAATGAGAATCTAAGTTTAGTAGGTAGTATTGTGTTAAGATTCGATGCATTACAATAAAATATGTCAACTTACTTTTTCAATCATTCTGTATGAAATATGTATTTTGGGAAAGTGATTCAACTGATAGAAATTTTAAAACAATTACCTTCGGTTAAACATTTTAACGAGAAAATGTAATGCTTTATTACATGCATGTATCAAAAACATTAAACTTTCACGCAGAATGAAGTATCTTAACAAGTGCAACAGGAAGCTGCGTTCTGTATTATTAATTTTAGTCGACTGTACAAAATCAACAGAACTTAAATAAATGTTCGTCAAGAAACTGTAAGAATAATTCAGTTATTCATGTCCATTTCATGATTGAAATAAAAATTTATTGGATGCTAACGCAATATATAATTTTAAATTCATAATTTCTTTACCCTCGAACGATTGTTCTACGTTTCCGTTTATGATAACATTTGTTGGCTTCGTGTAAGATAACAACGGTCAATTTTTGAGATGAAAGATGTAGAAAGTGAACGGCGATAGTGAGAAATATTACGACTGAGTCCACGACTTACTTGGAAATACCAATCTAATTTAACGCTACAGCTATGTCAAAAACAATTAGTCATTGAAGTTCATCGAGAAAGACAGTCCTACCGTAAGATTTCATTGGTCCGCTATCTTATTTTCCGTTTAAAATGACTCGCCAAACAGTTTCACATTTTGAGTGGCCAGTTTATTTTAATATAGATTCATTCGGACCGCAGTGAGGCATACAAACGAAAAGGAGAGGATTTTTCTGTTCAAAATTTGAAAGTGCCTAAGAACAATTAATAAATTAAGACAATCAAAATTAATTTCTAGTTCTCACAAGATTTCTATGGTTTTCTATTTTTGATTTGGAAAAATTTTGACTGTATGCTCTTAAACATAAATTCGAATGTAGTTTTCATGAAACCTTTTGTAATAGAATTATCTGAAGAAAAATGAGCTTCTAATACAATGTACTTTCGTTTCTGATAAATAACAGTACATTTCTTCTTGTGTTATAAATGTTTCCATAAATAATTAAGTTAAATATTTTCAAAATCAGAACCAGATTCAGAAAATTTGTTTGTTTCAAGAGTTCTTTTCTATTTCGTTACACTATGAATTATCTGTCGTCAGGCACATCAAAAAGCACGAATTTTTATCAAGAGATGAGAAGATTAAGTCATTACGAAAACTAATAATAACGTCGAAACAATTGCTCTAGTACGCGGGGTCAAATGTGTTCACGAAAAAAATCTGTAACTTCAAAGGCTGCGACTTCGATGAATATTCAGTAGTCGTTGCATACTGAACGTTTCCATGTAAATGGGAGTCGAGCTCTGTTCTACGCGGTGGACTCAGCCGGCCGATGAAAATTGTACGTTAAACGGTTCGCAACGCGGCATTATATTTGTAGTCGCTAAATTATAAGTTGTACCACGGCTGGTAGAGCAATATATCACTAATGCTGACAATATTAATGCTTACGTAACGGCGTCATAATCAATGCCCCGCGCATGTCGGACGCTCGTTAATGAGCAAAGAATAACGATGCCTGAGCAATATAAATAGTCGACCCAAAAATTATACGGTGAAATAAGGTTGTTGGAAATTGTTTCTTCCTCGTCATACCGCGCGCGTGTGTGTGTGTGTGTGTGTGTGTGTACCGTGTTTTCCAATTATCGATCGATTCGCGAGTCAACATGAATACAGAAATACCGAGAAAAACCTATTGCCTAGCTTTTAGCTTCAAGAATACGATTCGTTCGAATACACTTTGAAAACTTCTAGTACAAATATTCTAGCTCTTTATCGTATTACAACTCACAACGAAGTTAAAAGTTTGTAAATTTCAACTGGTCTGTCATACGTCTACATAGACCCGAGGGAACCAATTCTAACCGGTTTAATTTATCCTGCTCTATGGTCGGGATTGTAAGGTTTGTTGTATACAAGGCCAGAGAAATAACAGCAAAGTGTTCGACCAGCCACCATTGCACAAATGTTTCGACTATATCATTTTCCTATCACAAACAATCCTATCCACTTGCCCAGACACATACACACACGCGCACGGAAACACTACGGGTTAAAGGAAGACGCGATAAAAGCCCCACGGAACTCTACAAAGTGCCGCGCGCGCGCCCGAACATGATTGCGAATTGATCACGACGATCCCGTCGAATCGATCGATATCGTATCATCCCTCTATGGATCAGCACCAGGCGCACGTTTCGAATGAACAGGCAGTGAATGAACAGAGTTTACTTCTATTTCGATAGACCCAGCCACTCGTTCATCGGAATGTACGCGAGCACGCATGGGATCGTCCCTGCGGATTAGGAGCATCGAGGCGTGCTCGATAAACGGAAACAAGTGTACCCCGACTCGCCTCGCTGAACAAAGAGAGAATTAAGCACCTTCGTGTGTTCCTACACACGGTCGGATTCGAACCGACCCGATTCGGAGCCCGATTCGACGACAGATGATCCATCCATCCATCCGTCGTGGCGTCCTCGACGACTTTCGGTTGTTTTTTTTTTCTGCGATTTAATCAACGACTAAACGGCGATTGCACATTTCTCGCGACCTCTCTCGTTCCGTTTGATTTACACTAGAACATTTTTGCGACCAGCCAACCTCGAAGGGGCACGTCTATCCGTGATGTCGTTGCCGACCGTCTCCCGATCCTCTAATGGGGATTAGTGAAAAACGGCCCCACATTCTCCCCTGAACCCCGATTATCGTATAATACAAACACGCTCGCGGTATCACGGACACACGTGTCGTTTCAGTGGTCCACCAGAGAAAGCTGTTCGCGATGGGCAGAGCCCGCGACAAGCTCAGTTGTACGGCCATGAGTGCCTGATTGAAGTGACCACGTTCGAGGTAGGCGGGTCCTCCGGGCGTCACTTCTTCATGTCGTTCATCAACGTGCCGTCCTTGCTCTTGTTCGTGTCGAGGCTCGACTGCTGACTACTTGTCACGCCGCTACCGTTCCCCGGGTACATCTTTTCCAGATGATTCAGGGACTCGCTTAGGAACTTCTGTGAACGAACACGGATAGGATTTTAGTATTGTTCCGTCGGGAATCGATATACAGTGACTACTCGATGAGTGTTTGAAGGCTCCTCGGCAGTGAATATTAACACTAGAACTACCAGCGTTGGTAACATGTACTAAATTAAATTGTATAATAGAGTAATATACATAATACGTAGCACAATTTAGTACAATATAGTATAATATAAAATGTAGAGAAATTAGAGGCCAACATAAATTCTACCAACCGCATTACATTATAATTTTAGTAGTCTTAAAATAAGAATTTGTAGTCCGTTATTTTGACGGGTTTGGTAGTTTTAGAGGAGAATACATAGTTCCATGTGTTATACGCATGCCATATTTTTGAAGTGCAAAGGGTATATTTTTCGTGTAGTTTCGAGTAATTGGTGATGTGAACAAATTGATGATCTACTATCTTCACTTGTGATACGTATTACCACCGACGAGGTATAAGAATAAATCTTTCATCTTATGGGAGTTGAAGGCCCACCTAAACTCTATTACCGACACCTTAAAAAGCCTGCGATTTTAGTGACCTCTGCGTTATGAGAACGGTGAATCTATGGCGAGTAGTGACACTAAAATGGAAATGGGGTAAGGTTGCCCCAGAAAAATGGGTCGAAGAAATACATTGGATGAAAGGTCTATTCTTATATCTCGTCGGTGGTATTACTGTGTATATATCGGAATTGCAAGCAGCAATACTGCACCTGTATTGCCGTAAGAGCGGCTACGATTGCAGGACTTCCGAATCCATGTGATATGAGAGAGAAATGCGTTAGGTGTCTCTGTATGCTTGGGTCGAGGATATGTTGCGGCCGCGTGTTGCAAAGTGGTGATCTGTCTTGGTTCAGAAGATCCATCAGCTCTTTGGTGATTTGTCTGAAAGCGTAACAACGACGTTAAATACCGTTCCTTAAGAACAACTTGAAGTTTCACCGAATTTCAAGTCCTTTAAGACTTTTTTTAATTTCTTAGTATCCTTCTTAATTTTGTAATTTTGTAACTTTTCGTAATTGTCGTACTTTCGTAATTTAGTAATTTCTTAATCTATACAATTCTAAAGATCGAATTGTTCAGGGCTCGACAAACACCGAAGAAACATTTTGTCCGTGATTTTATTTACATTTGAATTCAAGTATCAATGCGTGTTTATCGTCGCAATCCTGATTATCCCGATAAATTTCGTTCGCCATTGTTCGACGACACGGGAGATAAATTCTTACTTGGTGGCATGAAGAAGTTCTTTTCTCCTGTAGGAATCTTGCGGTTCACAATGCTGCCGACTGAGGTATTCGGCAACTTGTTTCGCAGGGAATTCGGTTTCGCAAACGTAGCCGAAGTCTCTGGCAAGGTGAATGGCTTCTCCTGAAAAAGAAATAAAAATACCCCGGTACAGGAACGGAATTATATAACCCACCTATGGAAGTGTATGAATATTCCTCTTTTTTTTCGCCAGTCGCGGACTATCCCACCACTTAACCGAACTCGGCAAAACGTTTCGCGTGAACGTTTAAAAACTTAATTATACGATGTATCCATCAATACGTGGAATCAACCGGTAAGAAGTGATTCTGCATAAAGAAATCGGTTGGAAATGCCGAATGAAATTTTCTTGCGGTAGGTTTCGTTTCTGAGATGGTCAATTTCACGTATACGTGGTTTTCATCGTGTAAAGTTGATTAGCGTCTTTAGTCGTTCCAAAGCTGAAATTTCTACGTAATAAAAATTCGTGAGATAAAATTTCACTCTAGACTTTAAATTTACTTTCTCATGAGGAATTATCTATTATCAATGAACGACACATTTTTCGAGGTATTTTATAAACTAAAATGAAGTTAGTAATGTTGTAATTAAACTTCTCAAAAAAATTTGTAAAATGGTGCTGGAAACCATAAATATTCGGAAGTATTAATCAACTTATTTTCAGGATTAATTCCAAGATTAAATTCATTTCATTATCAGAGTATTAGTCCTGCTAATACTAAAAATTTTAGTGATCACAGTAGATTGTAATAGCGTTTGGATCTCCTCGAACTCTCGAACACATATCATTGTTTCAATGGTACAGTTGCGAAACTGCAATTTTTGTGAATCTGAGCTAAATGCATTATTTCTGTAGCTCTGGACCATTAAAAAATGTACGAAAAGTATTATAAATATCTGGCTCTTATTATCGAGAAACTTTCCCACCCCTGGACTATATCATTAGGACCACTGACTTCTTCATCTTTAAACCGAATAATTCCTAGCATGATCAAATAGGAATCTGACATATATTGGCGTATGCCAAGCAACATTCAACAAAATGGCAGATTCCTCCTCGAAATCTGACGTTACGAATCACAGTGGTCCTTCCCCTCTGAAGTAAAACGTGTGTTGCGCTCGTATCGCGCGTGCCGGTTGCAGGATTGTCCTCCATTAAAGGAACGAACTAATTTACGATAATGAAACAGCATACGTTCTTCCTCTTCAGCACGTGGTCCGTGTTTCGCCCCTTTTGGTGCGATTCCCTCCGTTCGTCATTCTCTCTCTTACACTTAGCTGTCCGTTCGCGACTTCCCTCTCCCTTTCTCGATGATAGCAGGTAATTAGGTAGCTACAAGTGAGGTCTCGTCCAAGATGGAGGCAGACCCGCTGGGGCGCTATTATCGGCAACAGGGGCGAAACCACCCGCAGGCCTGCTAGTGGTGTTCGCCTACGAGATCGAGAACACAGGCTCGAGCCACCTGCAGCTAACGAATTATCCAATTTTGCTGCATCGATCCACCGTTTCCTGCATCCTCGCAGCGGGAAATATACATGCAAAGGTCTTGATAATTGTGGAATCGAGCGATCCTCTTGCCCGTCTTCCTCTTGCAAGTAGAATTTTTCCGTGGATATGACTTTGTCGGTCGTATGTTACTATAAAGCTGCTAATACTCGTTCTTTCCCCACTTCGAGAACATTAATGTGTAAACGAGCATTTTTTCATATTTGTTCATATTCGTTGGCATTCGCTGTGAAGATAAGCTTTTTATTCTCAATATATTATTTTTTATCTCGATTTGACAAGTTATTTTATTAGTCAATAAAGTTTACGAGTAATGAAAGGTGGAGGTAAAAACGGAGGTCCAAATGATTAGTCCTAAATCTGTTGGTTGCCTACGTGTTAAATAGTTACAGTTGCAGTCTGTCTTCTGCATGGTATTCATTGGGATTTGACTGTATGAAATGAAACTTCGCTGGTATAGTTGTGCGAGATAAAGAAGGCTTGAGCCGTGGGTGACTATATCTATAATTCATTGTATCTGTTACGCTATTTATTGCTGATCGTAAGAAATTGCAGTTGAGTGATAAATATTAGGTCATTGCATAGTGTCCGTCGATTCTTCATTGGACAAAAAATAAGGATCTCATTCATTCAGACCGTCTTTATTGATGCTATTTAGAAAGTATAAAGACGAGTCGACAAATGTACGGTATAATAATGAATTAAACATTTCTTTATAAAATTGAATGCTTAAATAATGTATTCGTACATAAATCGAACAACCTTATCGACAGCATAATATAATGTTAGAAGACTTATATAATTTGGATTTCATAATCGTCAGTCTAACGGAATATCTAGTTCCTTTCTTTTTTATCTGATTGTTATAGTTCTACTACACCACGTTTCCAAGCAGTTCAGTTTTTTGTCAAAGAGTTGTTTCGTCTTGTGTCACAGTTGTTTCATTACCCATATTTGACGACATACTTTTTATTACGACGGTACACGTGGTTATCAGTTGTCCTTGTTTTGTCACAATAAATCGTGTGCGTGACGCATAATTATTGTTTAATAATTGTGCAGTTAACATCGTCGTAAACCGGTAATATTTTGCAACGGACAAGTAGTTGTCTACTAAAAATGTACTAGCATGATTCGCGTGAAAGCAAACCGACCAAAAATCTTACGAAACTGTCTCATAATCAGTAATAATTCATTGAATTCACTAAACGATGTTGTGCTTTTGTGTTGTAACTTCGTTTTGTAGCACAATCTTTATTGTTATGTTTGGCCAACAAAATTTGAAGAAGGGTAAACAAAACGTTTGTGTGCTTATCAGTGATAATTATACTAACATTAGTTATAAGCATTTGTATAAAATATTAAAGGTACAAAACCAATCGCAGATATACACTATAGTGCAATTCCCTTTTAGTAAAAGTTTAAATAGATTACTAATTAATTTATGAATTTCTCAATGGCATGAATCGTCCCAGTGATAAGAACATACATTATATTTTCCTTCGGGAATGACTCATAGTTTCTTTAAGTGACTGCTGCTTAACGAAACTATCATACATTTTTCATTTTCAGCTCCACGAGTCTACAGGTCGTTTCAAAAACAATAAGCACAACATATTGAGAATATAATACACATATAGCAAATGAACATAATACAAAAATTTGATTTCATTTTTGGATTACCATGAATGTTAATTTTCTTTAAACAATTATAATTTTTATCTCACCTAAAGTATCCTCTTACTGTAATGCTTTTATTTATATTTAATATTTAATATGCTTTAATGTAGAATCGCCGATTAGTTTTATACGAAGTTTCAGTTGATCGTTGTACCTTAAGGTTACTGTACACACCTGTAAGCAACGAATATGGCTCTAAGATCCTGCTATCGTTTTGTGAAACACGCTGTACGACGCTTATATTAACCACTTGTCATCAAGAATAACGATCTACGACCTAATCGTTAACAGAGGACGTGCAAGATTCTGCGCCGTGCACGTACAAAGTGCAACAGGTCGTTTCAGGCAGGTTTTAATAATGATCCCGAGCGCAAAACTCGTCTGGATCTTTTGCATCGATTTGCATATCGGTACTCCTCGCATCGTGTGTTTCCTAACTCCTTTTAATTTCCTTTAACTAAATTTGCATCGTCGTCACGTTCCTATTTAAGATACGAATGTTCATACGTGCGCGCATCGCGTCTGTGTAATCAGCATATGGTTACAGTGTAATACACCTAATTTCATGAAGTTGAAGGACTAAGTTTCAAGAAATGAGTTTTCTGAAAATTATATCTCCTTCTGAGCAAGTCAGAAATAGTATAGGACAGATTTTTGATCGTCTTGGACGTAATCTCTGATTACCTCTGATCACCTTTCATTACCTCTGATGAATTCTGACAACCTCTGACCATCCTAAATAACACTGGATAATTTCCAACGAGTTAATTTTAATTTTATAGTTGAATTTTTAGGAACCTAGGAACACTAGAAATCACATAAGCAGAATTCAATCTCGCGTTCTTCTGATTATGCCTCAACAATCACAGCCACGGTGCTTTTTCTAATTTCTCTATCTCATCCTTATTTACTAATATTGTTTATAATATATTGGCGTTATTGCAACATGAGCCTCAGAAATGAATTTTTCGCGGTAGAAAATTAAATCGTCCTTGAAGAAGGATTCGCATCGTCGTGGAGCGATTCGATCCGCTATGAAAGCTTTTGTTTCGGTACGAAAAGGGGGCTACCGATCGAAACGATAATCTATGATACAGACGTGCACCGAGACAACTCAATGCAACCAACAGAGGATACTTTGCTCGATACAGATGAGGACCACAGATTGGTCGGAGGTGATTACAGATGCGGGCTACAGATTGCCGCACGCAGCTATACGAGAACGAATCAGCAACGTGACTCGCGAATTAATGATCAGCCTTTTTTACTTGATGACTTTACTGCGCTCGTCGGTTTGGCCGTTCGACATTTGATCGAAAATCCGATCCGATCGCCACAAAACGACCAGCGATTCGGAATGTTGCTTCCTTTGTTGTTTCGACGATTTATAGTCGTATCTGTCTCATATTTAGTTACTATTACCACAAACAGTAAAAATATCGACTGAAAGTCAAAGATTTTATTAGGCGTATTAATGAGTAATTGAGTTAATAATATGACAATATAAATAATTTAAATTTAGCGCATCTTGCTACTCTTATGCTTGATAAGCATGGTCATGTGGTTTATTTCTTTATAAATAAATACTAAATTTATTAAAAAAAAAAATAGTGGACCAATTGTTGGTAACACTTCTATACAAACTAGTCATCGAAATTTTGGGCTATGGATAAAAAATTGAGTAAAGCAGGGTTACGGTTAAAACCTATTTAAAGTGCAATCAAAGAATAATCTTGAATCTTTGTAATTCTTTAAGATACTAAATAAGTTTAAATTTTCTAAGACTCTTGTTAAATGATATCTATCATTTTGAATCAATACTACATTTTTTTCTCTCCATCGAAATATGGTAAAGGGTGCTGAGAGTTTTATTCGATCAGAGTTCACGTTACTCACAGGGAACAAGGGACGATCGACCCACGAGATTGACCACAAATTATGCTCGATTGTAGTTTCGATAATCGTGATCTAGAGAGGATTTTGGGAGGAATTCTCTTCCGCGTACCATCAGACGATCGTGACCAGATTGTGCTTCGCCGCCATGAGTACGCTTGCGGTTTCTCCCCTGTTGAATACTTCACGATTACGATCGATACACAGGAGGTGTGTCGATCGATACACAAGAGGTGTGTTGAACGATATGCACGGTGTATAAAAGTTACAGTACACTTACCGATGAAAAGGAATTTAAGATGTCCACGTTCCTGATCGCAAAATTATGAAAAGGACGGAATGCTTCACACTCACAAATAAATTGCTCGCTGAAATTCCGCAAAAGATTTTATACACTCGTTGAAGAGACTCAATGTGTAGCAGTATTCTGTTCTGTGTCATTTGAACAATGCAATTATTATAAACAGATTGTGAATTGTTAAACAAAATCACATTTTTTTAGTAATTTATTTGGACCAGGAATAACCAGGAATTTATTTCTTAACTTAAAAAATATATTCACTTAATTTCATGTCATTGTGTTTTAATTATTTGTATACATACAGTACCGGGACAAATGTTTTCGGACAAAAACCGTTTCCTGTATTATTTGCATTAAGGATACTACTGATGTTACATTAAATAATCAACTTCTGTCTTGTGTAATTGTTGTTTTCTTAGGCTGACCACACTCGATGCATTTTCTAAATGTCCTCCTCGAACAAATCTATGGTTGTGAATGGAACGTCCGAATACTTTTGTCTAGCTATATACAGATAAAACTTATTTTATATTTTGTGATAGGTAGATAGCTCCGTGTAACTTTTATGAAAGCTTGCGTCGGATTAATAGTAAACACTCCGGAGGGCAGAACTTCAGTAACATCACCCTAACAACAAATACAACGAACAATGTCTTTGTCTGAATTCATTTGTCCGCTACTGTATATTTTAAGTAGGAGAAATGATTATTTTTTCATAAACTTCTAACATCATAATCATTTTATCACCGTTTACTGTGTAAATAACTGTCACATTGGTACTCGTCGACTCCAGAAGTTAAAATCAAAGTGTTTATTCGATGTTTGAATTCCGGTTAAGTTATTGTAGTAAGAGATCACGAGTGAGTAAATTGCGATGGACCAGGTGACAATCGAGCTTTTGTCGTGTGCGGGACAGAGGTTGCGTCCTGACAACTAGATACGAATTTACGCATGAATCACGCACGGGTAAACGTTAATCGTACCTGGCCGAAGTGTAGGTACCTACACACCTGGTGCGTTCGAGAGTAGGTTCCCACACTTTCGCTGCACTCCACGACGAACTCTTTCAATTGCTTGCTAGACGCACATGGATATTTCGAAATGTCGTATCCTTCAATTAATTTCGTGTTCTGGCTTTCGGGTGTCCACAGTCGTCCAATGTTTACACGCATCGACGTGTGTTTATAGAGAAGATTTCATTCGAACCCATCAGAACTCCATTATTCATGGGCAAAAATTTTTACTTTCAAATGACAATACTGTTTTTAATATAACACTACGTTAAGCAATTATTTACACTCCGTTATGTGTTAATAGAAAGCTAAATCCTTATAGGACTTTTTGACATCGTGCTGTCGTTGGGCAAGTTTATCAATTTACGAGTTAAATGTTTCATTTTTTTCTGATAGTTTCATTTTGTTGAAAGCTAATTACTAGCGTTATATTAGAAACTGTGTTATTGCATAACATCGTTTAGCCTGTTTTGTAGGGTTAATGAGTAAATATAAAAAGTCGACGGAAGACTCATCAAGTATTCATTAAGAGTGTTTCACGCACGATGAAAGAAACGAGATGGAAATTGCAATTAAGAAGCCGATGATACATTGCAGAGACAAACATACGAGCCACGGAATTTATGCACTATAAAAGATAACTATAATTTATTCAACGATAATGCTTCCGTATATTTATTCAATTTATTCAAATAAGCGCCCATAAGGTGAATTATGGAAGGATATTTTATATATGCTATAGACGTGTGTCCGTTATGAGAAACAAAAAAATAAAGAATCGAGGTTGACTATAATTGTTCAAGTGGGAATATTGCCGAGGATTAACTGGATTCCTCGAAATGCTATCGAGAAATGGGGATTCAAATACCCCATGAAACGAGTTTGAAAACCTGTATGTTGCGGGACAGTTAATTAGAACGGCGTGCGGAATAGCCCGAGAGTGGCCCAAGAATTATAGTTTAATGCATTATTAAGAAGCACCGTATCGGTCCTGAGGATAGGCGACATCAGGTTATAACAGTTTATTCAATGGTATCGATAGTTTGACTTATGAACATTAGAATTAAATCGTGTTTCCGTTGCGTCATATACTACCTTAGTGCTACGAATAATTTCCATCTAGGAAATTGAATATTGGACACAAATAAAATCTCTGGTCTCTTCGTGTTATCTTAATCATAGTGTAATTAAACTGTGCAATATGATCTTTGTAAAAGAATACAGATCTATGAATATTTCAACACAAACATCACTTAAATTACTCGTCCATTCGATAGAGTCGAAAAATGAAGTACTCAAGATTTAGAAGTGAATTTATAAAATTAAGACCTTAAGTGATACTATTAAGTCCGAGGGAATACTTTTATGCAAAGGGTTAGACTTCTGAAAACATAGAATCTGAAGACAAACGAATTATAACAAGAAATTACAGATTAAGAAAGGAATAAACTTATTTAGATGCGTATAAAAAGAGAGGCATGGAATAATAGATCCTACGTTGGGATCTAACATATTCTGCAAAGGGAGGCTTCTTTTTATGGTTTTGTAACTATTACGAAGATTAGATTATTAAAATGCGCTTGAAGAACACACACGTGTCACGGGAAAAGAAGAAAAGGTAGCGTTTTGTGCGAGTCTGCCGACCGTAACTTGTAATCAACGTTCGCGGTCGAGTCATTAAAACCTCTTCGGCGAAGGGAGCAAGGTGATTTTTTAAACGTGAAATCTCGGTGCACGGATGCAACACACGTGTGTTATTAAGGAAGACAGTTAGGAATGAATATTCCGTAAAATGATCCTGATCAACCGGCTACTATGTCTTGTGCCGGACACGGAACGTCGACAAAGACCATTTCCTGACGTTAAGAACTGCTTAATGTCGTGTCGTTTATGCGAAATGATTTCATCGGCGTAATTTCAAAATGCAACGATCAACTCATAAAGTGGTGTATTTTTACACGCACGATGATTGTAGTGCGCGGTATAATAATCTGAAACGATGAAGATTAGTTTGCGTGGTTATAAAGAGTGTATATGTATGCTCTTGAAAGTAGAGATTACTTCAGAAGTAAATTAACGGAGAACGTAATAAGAAAGTAATTTTGGTGAATAAACGATTAATTCTGCTTTACTTTCGAAGATTCAACATTATGGATTTTATGGTAGATTAATTTGTTGATCACTGTAGAAAGTTACAAAGAAAGATTAAATTATACTAATTTGGGGTGTGCAATGTGAGTATTATAGTGATATACAATTTGCAAGCTTGAATACGTAAATTATGATAATTTGTGAACAAAATGATTCATGTCGTATGTTTAAATATTTGAATCTATACATATTTCAGTCATTATTACTGTGCGTCCTCTGTTCGTTAATTTCTTTTATAATAACAGAAATAGATCTATTCTATTATTTTAAATTAGTTATGATAATTATGATAGTTGAATCAACTATTACATATGAATAATTTACGTTAGTAATTAATGGAAAATTAAGCAACAATTAGATTAGTTAATATATTATATGTGTCTGTGATTATGAAAGTGATTTAAATCGAAAAAAAAAATTGAGTTTTTCTTTATTTTATATTCCGTTATTGTGAAAGAATTTTCGAAGCGAAAAATATATGACTTACGTGTTTTTATAAGTTTTCGATTGGTCAGATTGAAAATTAATTTAGTCGTTTGACTTTCATACTGGAATCGTATAGAAAACTGTCATTCCCTTATAATCGTGAACACATTAGATATATATTGTTTGTATTTCGTGCTCATAACGATACACGTAATTTCGATTCTCTTGTTGGCAGACGTACCCTCGCCACGCGTAACATTGACATTAACATAAAGTCATTGATGAACAAGTCGCGACATTATTTATGGAAATGCAAACAACTCATCGATTCTTAATACGTTAACTAGGCTTGTAAATTGAATATTCAAGCTCACGTATCGGAATCCGCAACTTTATGGCGGATTAATGCCGGTCGAGAAAATTAGTATAAGAAGCTTATATGTATATCTTGGTATGATTTAACGACACAGACGAGCAAAGTTCAGATTATGAAAACTAAATCCAAGGATGACCAAGTTCGGGTAAGTACTCTTTAGATACGACAGTTAGCTATGAGTCTCGAAAGATTTGTTCTTCTAGATTCAGGTATTAGCCTCACGTTTGCCTAAATAGGTTTCACATATGCGTACATCGAGGAGTAAAAATTTCGTGAATAATAAAACTCACCTTCCACTAATGATGTCAAGAGCGTGACATTCGCGGCCTTCCTCCTACCGGCTGGCAAGTTTAGTCCAATTTTTTCCAACTTTTCCCTAAGTAAACGTCCGCCGTTTTTGGATTTCGCTCTGAAAGTAAAACGTAGTATTAATATACAGTATATACATCAATTGAGATTCTGTACAAATATTTATTAAGTTTCTTATCCTTGACCAATAATCTCCAAACGTACACTACTGCTTATATCAGCCCTTATAACGAACAAGAGTTCACCCATTTACATTTCACTTTAGGAATTTCTAACAAATGATCACTAGAGTGCAGATGTTGATGCATTTACAGCATCTGTTAACTTGCACAACGCAGTAAAATGAAAGTTTTAATAAAATCTAATACCATTTATATATTATTACTAACGCAATGAAGTTTCCAATATGGGATTTAAAGTTCCGGCTAATTTTCACTTTTAGGTATTAGTATGTGATATTACGAATTTGCATAAACTTCTGGCGTCTAATGACCACGAATTGTGTTTGTCCTACGACCCTTGCTATAAAACAAATGAATTATTATGAAATATTTGGCGAATTCTTTTAACAAATAGAACCCAAAGCGGATGGGCAAACACTTACGGGCGTTTACGGTAGCGTACACAAGAAAAACAAAACGGAATCGGTCGCTATACATCGACTGTACCAAACAGCAAAGCAAAAACTCTACACAAGTATCGGAGGTTACAACAAAAACGGCTCAGCAATTATATAATAACAAACGAACGTGGATCGCAGCGAAGGGCAAAAGGAGGCAGCGACGTCTCGCAGCCTCTACGCATAAAATTTGCATCATGGTTGCATAATCGGATTATTCACGCGTCCCGTCACTACGTTATACATATACATTTAAGCGAAGTCTTTTGTTTCTCGGCCCATCACGCTCGTTCAGCCTACTTCGGAACGGACACGATATGTATGTATATTCTTTGGAGGGCAAGTCGAGCTGCCGTTGCTCTCGCGCGAGAATTTCGAAATGGGACTGGTTCATTAATCATTTTTGCCACGATCATTGAAGAAAGAAGAAAAAAAAAGAAATCGACGAGCTCAAGAGGAAGAAAGGGGAGAGGGGGAGGAACGACAGAGAAACGGGGAAATTAGCATAATCCGTAGCTACGCGTGTCATCCATCGGCTATTGAGCAACTCGACCCGTGTGGCTAAGTCGATTGCGGGATGAGATACTATCGAAGACATTGAACGTGTACTCTCGTCCCGCAAAAAGGTTACATTTTCATGCGTATTAATTGCGATAAAACGTGAATAATAACGATCAGTCTTCCTTTTTCTTCGCAGCATGTCAAAGCACGGTATAATTACGGAGAATGTTTCTCTCTTATTGATACCTGCGGGTACTTTTAAATAATATATTTTAAAGGTAACAGGGCAACAGTATACATGTGTGATGTAAATGATACAATTCAATTAAAGTTTGTTATTAAATGCTCTAGAGATTATTTACATCGCGGTTGTATGCATTTTCTGGGAACGACGATTGATCTACATGATTTTCTTGCCCGAAGAAATTTATTTTAAACAATTCGAAGGTAGTAATTGTTTCTCGTTGAATTCTTACCGAGTAGTTCCAGAATTCCAAGGCTTTTGCACTTTGATTTGCTCTCCTCTAACAATCAAAAAGTGTGACTTAATACACTCTATCTCTGGTGTTCAGAAATTGAAATTGACCTTATTGTTTGTGTTTCTTTCGAAAACCCGATCGAAAACTGTGATCAGTGTATAAAAATACTTAACCTGTACAGGTTGTCCCAGCTATACATATACTCCTCAATATTTTAAGATGTGGTGGGGAAGCCGAATGGAACAAAAAATCTCCAAGGACATCATGTTCGATTATCTTCTACTTTTTGTTAGAAAACAGTGTCTACCTAACCTAAAAACCTAACCAAGCCCAGGCGAATCGTAAAAACGATTTTAAGGAGAACTAAAAAAAGCAGCAACGAGAATGTAAAATCTATTGAAGAATACTTCAACGAACATTTCCCGGACGTATTGCGTGGCTAAGTATTCAAAGAAGTCAAGAATCTTTGGTGTCTCGCAATTGCCAACTGGTTCTGAAGTACGTCTTTCCGCGGAACACCATCGAGAATTCGATAGTGGCCCTCAAGACATCCTATTCATTCATCATCCGTGGACCAACATAACGGTAATGCGTATCTCGCCCACCTTTGTTCGGCTCGGGCAGCCGGTCGGTCCGGTAATCTTTCGGTTCGCTCGGCAATTAATACACTTTACCGCTAGAACATTTTAATATATACATCTGCCCTCTCTAGTTTTACGTTTTTCGTTTCGCTTCCTCGTAAAGGTGCGTCTCCACTGGTGTTCGTGAATAGTATACACGTAATGGAGTACGATTTATAGTTGGAATATTTGCTTGCAGTCGCGGAGTCGATTAAAGTTAATAACTGGCCCGCAATTTGTGGAAGCAAGAATCATAGTTGATTGCTTAAGTTAGTTTAAGGCCCAAACAGTTGGAACACACGCAATAAACTATGGCCTGCTGGCAACGTTTATTGTAACACGACAGCGTCGGACATAAGTTTATTCGAATAATGTAGGGTGTTAATAAAAATGTGGGACACTATCACAGGATGGATTTTACATGCGAAACTAAGACGAAAGTCAAGAATGACGAAATTGTGTGCAAGGCTTTGTTTTCGAGTTATTAATTGTTGAATATACAGGCGAAATACCTGTAAAATAGTGTGACGCGACGGGTTATTCTACTTGAGAGGCGTACTCTTCAGTTGTATCAGGAGTTGGTTTCATTCATTTCATTTTATTTGATTCATTGAATGTAACTGGGTCATCCATCGGTACCGGTGCATCATCTGGGAATCTACTGTTCAAGTAGTATAACCCATTGCGTCAGACGTATGTCATGCGTATTTTGACCGTACTTTCAACTGAGCCGTTCATTTGCTAAAGTGATTAAATCCACAACAATAATCAATGAAATTTATTTTAATTATACGAATTTCAGTACCGATCAAGTGCTTTGGCACTGAAACTTGAAAAAATTTTAAAAAATGGAGTTAGTCACTTTGGCTTTGAATTGGTTCAATTAATTTTTATTTTGCTGCGTTGCCACGTAGTAGACCTGAGAAAATTTTATTTGAAATGAAAATAAGAAATAATTGAAATAATTTATTTCGATCCTTTATTTTCAATACTGTTTTTTTAAGATTTTTGCTTGGACCCATCTGTTGTCACGAAGAAAAAATTATCGTTCTACTGGTGTGGAAGATGGAAGAGGGGTGTTACTCTTCAGAAAAATGTCAATAAATCAAACTCAGACCTAGTCACCTGATACAATTTCGAAGAACAATTTCACAATTATTTCTAAGTATTATTTCAAATAATTAGAAAATAAAATAACATGTAATTTGAAATAATATTTCAAGTAATATCATTTGAGAAATGCCCAGGTCCGCCATATAGTTATAAATTAAGGGATAGTAACTAGACACCAAGAGGTGATAAAATCAATAAAAATCTCACTTTTCAACATTTTGTGGCATAGATCCCTCTTGCATTAAACCCCTCAAGTGTTTGCACCTTAACTTGGCCGATGCCGAGACAATGACTTTTATTTATACTTGTAATCCTTGTCGACGCGTCGAGATAACCGCGAACGGGAACCTGATTTAGAAGTGTAACCACGTCTGCCAGGGATTCCTGCGGTAATTCGTGAACGCTCATACATAGTTTGGAGATCGGTCTCGTTGGAGGATAAACCTGTTGTGCATGTTTCCGACCGGATCGAATCGAGAGCGTAAAACGATCGTCGTTGTTCGTTTGCTCGTGTTGGGCCTTAATACGCCGATTGACACGACTCTTCGATATCGTCTTAAAGTATTAATAGCTGAGTTGGATGCTGAAGTGCTTTAAATTTCCGACTCATGAATGTTAATATGGCGAAATGAATATGCGTTAGATCGATGTTGGTGAAGTCTCAGTTTTTTTTAGAGGTGTAACGAGACAATGTTATGATTACTTGTACTTCTGAGTAACACACTATTTTGTGTCCAGATGAGTGCAGTAAAACCTCCAGTATCCGAACATCTAAACACCAGCATTTTTTTCTCGTTTCTTTGACAAGGCACGCCAACGTTAAGCAAAGAATCACATTGCCTGTCGTAACACTAAAGTCATGCTGGTGTTAAACCACGTACACTCGTTCGGTAGTCACGCAGCCCGTGTACACGCGTATTTTAATGTCACGGTCTCGTTTTTATAGTCGCACGTAAATAATAATTCGTCATAATACTATACATCGTTTCTTACCGGCCCCTATTAACCTGCAATTATTCCGTATAAATTATATAACGATTATCGTCCCAGGATATTTACCGAGAACTTTACGCAACCCAGCGTCCTTCCACGTATCGGCACTCGATTCTCCTCCGATATTAACACTTTTCACCTCGGAAGCCTGTTACGAGGCTGGTCGGTATCGATTCTTATCAACATGAAACCTATTAATTTTCCTTCAGATAAAAATGGAAAAAGAATTCATTATATTCTATTACCCTTATTGGTTCAAGATTGTAATTTCCTACTACAATAAAAAAGGAAAGTTATGAATCGATTCCTACCTATTAATCCTTCAGTCCAGAATGCCTATTAACACGTTATCAATTAACGAACATGTATAAAATTTCCAACGTCAGACTAACATTTTCAATGAAATGGAAACTCATAAGTAGACTGCGGATTTTATGCATTTATAGACTCTAGAGTTCTGAGAAATACAGTAAAAGACAAAACTTTCATCGAATGCAACGACTTTTTCTATTTTATTCTTAACTCAATAACATACTTAAGAGAAGATGAAATATCCTACTTTTGTTCTTGTCTTCAAGAATCACTTTATAAAATTTGATTTTGCATAAAAATCCGCAGTCTACCCATATGCCTAGATTTATCGCAATAGGCACTCTGATAATCTTCTCGAATTCCATAGGCCCAAATCAAACTCTGGTTTATTTAATGTTTGACTGTTAAATTTTAGATTCTAGTTCCGAACTGAAAACTGTGTCGCCCACGTCTGTGTGACGTG